GAGAAGTGCCTATTTTTTTTCTTTACTTTTTGTTGAGTTGTATGGATTCTTTGTACACTCTGAATATTAGCCCCTTGTTGGGTGTATGATGTGCAAAATATTTTCTCCCATTCATTTGACTATCTTTTCATTTTAACAATAGTTTCTTTCACTGTGCAGGAGCTTTTTAGTTTGGTGAAGTCACATTTATCTATTTTTCCCTTTGTTTCCTTGCTATCCAAGTTTAGTACTAAAGATATTATTGAAGTCAGTTTTGTGGAGTATTTTGCCTGCATTTTCTGTGTATTTTATTGTGTTTCTCCATATAGGTTTTTGGTATTTACTGTTTTTCCTCTATTTGTCATGTTCAATATTTAAGTGGCTAAATCTCATTTTCCAAGTTACTGGCATGTATAGCATAAGGAATAAATTATTGTCATAAAGGGAAGCAATTTTTTATTAATTTGGTTAATATAAATATACATGTTTTAACCTCTAGCACATACATACTTTAAAAACAATTACATAGTTAAAATGATGGTTATAAAATGGATGTAGTGCATATCCTGTGTTTATGTTTCCATTATGGGCTTCAAATATCCCCAAATTAGTCTAACCTGAATTTTAAAATTCTATTTAGTATGTTGTGATTTTTATATACTTCATAATTTGTCACTATGGAAAATAATACACATTCATGGTTTTATCAAGAGGACTATGTTTACTTCAATATTTTATAATAAAATACTTCAATATTTAAAATAAAATATTTCAATATTTTAGAATAACTATGCCACTATACATAGTTTAGAGACTTTTTAAAATTCTAAATAGAGGGTCAAAGAAAAGATAAGAATATTTGATACTGCAAAGATTCATTTAAATGTTAACATAAATAAACACAAGATAGGCAAGCAGGCCTCCCTGGTGGTGCAAGGGGTTAAGACACAACCTATGAAGCTGTCAGCAGCCACTCCATCACGAGTTAGATCCCCAGCCAGGGAGATACCCACATGGCACAGCAGACCTATCCTGACTCGCCCGCTGCTCCCCTCAGCAGTGTATTTCGGTCAATCCACCTGTTCTGTACGTCACTCTTTCTCTGGTGAATCCTCTCACCCCGCCACACTTCTGGCCTGTACCCCAGTTCTTGTATGCATAAATAAATAAATCTTTTAAAAAATAGGCAAGCATATTAAACAAGGTTTGTGATCTGAATTCTTTTTGGTAAATGTTTTAAAATAAACATTAACAGTTATACCTTTTAAAATAGTTTTGATTAAATTCTTAAATACTCATTTTCTTCAAAGTATTTTCCACCTAGATTTTAAATAACACTTTTTGAAGTTAATAGCTATGAAAATATCACCAAGAAAAAAAGAAAAAAATTAAATTTCTTTTCCATAAGTTTATCAAATTACTTGCTTTTCTAAACTCACACTGTATTTCTAAAACATTACTCATTTGCATGAGTCATTAGCCTTCATAAGGAGTTCTTTCATATAAAGTCTGTAAACCATAGCATTTCTTCATTAGTAGCATATACAGGTCCATTAAATCTATTAAAAATGATAGTCTACTGATTAATATTTTAATTGTAGCTTGAGATTCTTGAAGTGGATCTAGGGAATGTTTATGAAAATTTTAATGTATAAGTTTAGACCATTCAGATACATTCTTGAGTAACTGTAATTTTTTAACCTAAAAAATATACATTAAAAGTAAATTGTTTATTAAATATTATGAATGACAGTAATAGCAGAAACATCATCTCAACATGTAAATATTGATTACATTCCGAAGTCAAATTTAGGTTACCCGAATGTCTTCATTTTTCTCCAACAACTAAGGCCAGCTTATATATTTTTTTTCAGTCTTTAAAGTAATTTTTTAAATGATGTTCTGATAAACTAAGTAGTTATCTTCGACATTTTCTGAATAAAAACGGTCACTGTGATGACACAAACTCGTAATACATGTACTTGATATTACTCAATGGTGCTTTACCTGTAGTAGGAAAGGAAGATCAGTGTCAATGAGTATTAGAAAATTGTTTAACCCTTAATGCATTATATGCTCCCCCATTTCTCCTAAATGATACATATAGACCTTTCAGTTCTATGTTTGCCACTAGGGAATAAGTACTGCTTTCATAACATTGAGATCTAAACAAGATTATATTTAAAAAACAAAGCACGGGTGACTGAATGACACTTGGAATCTACATGACTCCATCTTAGCAAAGAGTTACATTCAAGAAACACCTATGCTCAGTAAAAGCAAACAAAACTTTCTTCTGATATTTTTCAGGAAAAGATGTTTGTCTTCCACTTTATCGCAGCATTTCTCACAAGTGTCTTTCTCCATCTTTTCCTTTTCTACTCTCTATTCCTCTATTTGATATATTATTTACTAATAACAAAGCTTACAGTGTTTTCTATGTACCAGGCACTATGTACTAGTACACTGGGTACTTCATAGTATTAACATATTTAATCCTTAAAACAACTTTGATAAGGTATTATTACTTGCCAGATACTATAAATGAGAAAACTGAGGTGCAGAGGGGTTTCATATCTGTCTAAGATCACAGAGCAAACAAAGGGCAGAGTCAATGATAAGTGCACTCATAAGCTAGGCAGCAAATTGTAAAATCTCTCAATGCTTGTATCAACCCACCATCTTCGTTTTTATTTATTTGTTTTATTAACTTTTTATTGATGCAACATTAAATTATACCATTATATAACTTCCCAGTGTACATCATTGTGAATCAACATGTATATATATACTACAGTCGGTTTGCCCATAAACATCCAATTCTGTCCTCTCTTTAGTACCTCCCTTACCCACATCCTCTCTCTCTGTCAACTTGGACTCTCCTTGGGGAAGAGAGGCAAGAGGGGAGCAGGAAGGAGTTAGAGAAGGTTCTTTGAACACCCGTAGATGGCAATTGTTTTTGTTTTTTTTTTCCTGCTAGAAAGAAATTAACTTTACCCCTATGTTTAGGAGTCAAAGAAATATTAAAAGCAAATGAAAACAGGGCCTCCCTGGTGGTGCAAGGAGTTGAGCACCGCACTGTGGGGCGGTCCGCGGCCTCTGCAGCATGAGTTCAGTCCCCGGCTGGCCAGGGAGAACCTTCATTGCACAGCAGACCTCTCCTGTCTCCTCGCTGCTCCCCTCAGCAGTGTATTTCAGTCAGTCTGCCTGTTCTGTTCCCCACTCTGTCTCTGGTGAATCCTCTCACACACACCCCGCCCATCTCTGGCCTGGCCTGTGCCCCAGCTCTTGTGTGCATGAATAGATAGATCTTTAAAAAAAAAAAAAAAAAAAAAGGCAAATGAAAATAATGACACCAGCAATGGAATAAAGCTAAAGTGAGAACTGAAGAACTTAGGAGAACAGCTTATGTCAAGCAGACATGCTCCTGAGCTTATCTTCTTCTTCTTCATTTTCCTTTTCCTTCCCCAAGAATTTTTGTTCTTCCTTCCCTTAATGTGGTTCTAGATGCAATCTCAAGAAAGAACATTACTGACTGCTACTGATTATACAAGGAAGGATTTGGATGATAAATAAATACATAAACAAACGTATAGAGAAGCAATGAAGTTTAGCACCGTCAATAGGGAATTGAAAGCTTTTGAAGTCATAGGGTTTCCAACGCTACACAAATCTCAAACCAAAATATAACATACATTGAGTTGCTTTCAAAAGCAGCACAGTCAAGTTTGTTTTTTGTTTTTTTGTTTTTTGAGAAAAGTTAATCAGATAATTTCTCAGTGACTTTTTTTTCCTGGTTTCCAACCTGTAGTATTATTACAATCTTGTTTTTTTTAAACTTCCAGGATAAACATTAGAGCTAGGAGAAAAACACAAATAATCCACAAAACACAAATGATCACACAAATGTGATACAGAATCAATCACTGATCCCGTATCACATTTCAAGAATGAATTCCCTATCATATCTCAGATTATAGTATTCCAACACATTATGATATTCATTAACTTAGGTTTAAAAAAAAATTAAATAACATAAAATTGCTTTTTAAATTAAAACTAATTGATTTTGGTGGTGATTATAATGTAGTATATATAGATGTCAAAGGACAAAGCTGTATACTTGACAATGCTATAAACCAATGTTATCGCAATACAAATAAAATAAAATAAAACTAATACAGATTAGGAAATTTTTGAGAGTTCTGCTGTTTGTGTATGTGTATGATTGTTAGAGCTACCCTGGTATTGTAGGAATTAGGACTGAATATATACCTTGGCTGTTGACATTGAGAAATTTAAGACTGAAAACCAAATGAAATTCACTTTAATCTTAAAGCACAGATATGATCATAGAAACTTTAGGGATAGAGATAATACTGGTCTTACAAGTAAGTATGGAGCAATTTCAGAAACTCTAATAAAGCTTCTATTCTTCCTTTTTGGTTTATTGATTTCTGAAGCACAAATAAATAAATTCTAGTTTTAATGATGTGAAAAGTTTCTCTATTGCTTTCCACAAATTGATTTTACCAGGGTCCAAATGAAAGAACAATTCTTGGGGAAAAGAATGAGACATTTCATTCACTGAAAATGTTTAGGGCCAGGCCCAAATGAATGAAGTGGACATTTTAAAAGGTAGAGCTTTTGAGAGGGTTGAGGGTGACTTTTTGTGTTCTAGTGTTTGAGCAAAATATAAATTAGTGGTATCTTAAATCCATATAGTGAAATATTTGTTCTCTTTCAAATCTAGTGTCATGAAAGCTACATTACATTTGGCTGTTCTAACCACAAGCTGAAACTCCTTAAGTGAACATCAAAATTGTAAAATAAAATAACTCTATAATGACACTAAATAATATTATTTTCAGCTTCAGAGGCAAAGAGTAAATCCTTGCTTTGTTTGTTTGTTTTAGAAATAAAAGAAAATAAAATTTATTAATGAATAGGAGTCTAATTGAACTTGGAATAGATAGCAAATGTTAATATTTAATATATTTTCTCCTTAAAATTTAAAATACCTGTATTTTTTTTTCACATTTGACTCCAGAATATCCACTACGGCAGGAGCACACATTGGGAAGTACACATCTACCTCCATAAAGACATTTTTGATTACAAATTGCTGCAATACACAAATTTTGACAGTTACAATGTTTTGACATGAATGATTGTGGCATAGTTTATATTTCAGTGGTCTGAAATGATTCAGTGACATCACAACAAGAAAAATGGTCATATGAGTCTAATGACGAATTAAATATTCATCTCCCCACAATCAGATCACACACACACACCCCCAAAAAACAAAAACACTTAAAATTTGAAACAACTTGTTTATGATTTTATAAAGATAATATTAAAGCAAACAAAAATTTTCACTGGTAGCATTTAAAAATATTTAAAATATATTTTCTTTCTATTCAAAGAGATTCAAATCAGTAATGGAAAACAGCTTTTATAGTTTGCTGTTTTTTTAACAAGTTAGCAAAAGTATAAAAAGTACAATTTTGTGTATTTCATATACTAATATTGGACATTTAATGTGAAACAATTCTATTGAAACTTCCTAAAAATTTTCACTGACTTCCATAAAATCTTTGCCAATGAAATAAAAACATAGCTAATATCTATTATCATCTCTTATCTGTCTGCGTACCCACCTATGGGAAAAAAATGCTTAAAATACATACAATAGCAATGACATAAATAAAAATTCAATTGTAGTGTTTAATCATGGAAATCAATCTATCATTTAAAATTATGTTTTTAAAGATAGCGAAAATGATTTTAAGTAATAGGGTAAAAATAAGCATAAAATTTTATACAAGTTTTTTTTTTATACAAGAGTTCTGTGTTTTAATATCTCAAGTTGTAAGCTAATATAATTCAAGAATAATACTCCCTTTGGTATAAAAACAGCAATGAAAGGTTATATTTGTATCAGAGATGTAGTGTGGTTGAGCAGGATGTATAATGCACAAAACTTCACAGGCATCATAGATTTAAATATTTATTACAATCTCCAGCAGATGGCAGTAATACATTTATTCAAATAATGTCAATATTTAGAAGTTTCAAGAGTGTTGGAAATAACTCTAATAAAAGGCATGAGCATTCACAACTGTGAAATTTCAATTTATAATACAGTTGGATGATCAGATTAAAATTAATGTAGAAATGTTATTTCCTAGCATTTAAAAATAGTTTGGGGTGATTTCCATGTTTCCTATTATTTAATCTCTTGATATTTTATGTTTCATAAATTTCAAAATTACATAAAATTTGATTTTCCTCTATATCTTGAGATTTCATCTATATAAAAACGTATGACTAAATAAGAATGAAATATATCAAAATATTAAAGTCAAAACAGAAATTAGTTCTGAGTGGTAAAATTTGGAATCATTAATTTTTGAAAACTTTTTCATGTTTTCTATAATATCCATGATAGATATGTAGAGATCTTACAAAATGAGAAAATATTTATACTGCATATTAAAATCTTCATTACCCACCCAAGGAAATATCATTGGCATAATTTGAAACTATGTATATCATATAGAATAGCATATTATACTATAGTTTCTTCTTTTAAGTGGAGTAAAAAAATAGATGAGATTTCTTTTTATTTGTAAAACCCCCTGTTCATGGATCAAAGTGCTGGAATTTTTTTCCTATGATTTCCTCTAAAACTATATTTTATTTGACAATTATAGTTTACTGATTCAAGTTCAGAACAAGTAGCAGTAAATAAATCCTGTAGACTTACGTGTTTGACACTGGACTCCTTCCCATGAGGAAGGACAATGGCATACACTGGGAGCAATACATTCACCACCATTTTTACATTTCTGATAGCAGACAGCTGCAAATAGAAATACAAACAAGTTAAAAACTTAATTTACTGGTAAGTCCTATTATTAACCACAAACATTTAAGATAAAAAAGAATTTAAAAAATATAAAGTCAATGATTAGAGGATCTTTTCCCTTAATGTTTTATCAAGACATTCTCCAATGTCACTATTTATTCATGCAAACCATGGTTTTACAATGTTTCACTAATTAAATGCATCATGATTTAACTGTTTCCTAATTGTTGGACAGCTTCTTATTTTTCACTTTTATCAATACATTATACCTTCTAATTTTACATAATAATTATATAAAAAGGAAAAAAATGAAACATCTCAATGAAGGGGAGCTGCCACCAATTCAAAAATCAGCAGTCATGAGAGCAGAGGCACCCCAACTGGGAGGCCTGAATTGGTTGGTCTGTGGTGGGACCAAAAAATAAAAAGTAAGTTTTTAAACCTTCCCTTGACCCTTACTTAACACTAGAAGGTGAGAACTTCAGAACTTGTCATTTATCCTGGCAAATATAATGGACAGACTAGAAAATACAATATGCCTTCTTAGTCTGCTAAGAAAAAATGAGTGCAGAGGACTTGGCATTTTACTTATTCTACTTCTAAAAGAAATCTCCCAAAGTAGTAACAAGCAAAAATAAAAACAAACAAAAATCAAGGAAATTTTTTTTGTCTTAAATTCAGCTTTCTAGTTTCATGAATGACATAGACTCTAACATTACAGGAATATATCTCTTACGTGTATCGCATCGTTTCCCTCTCCAACCAGAAGGACAAGAGCAAATATTTGGTTCTATACATTTTCCTCCATTCATGCATATGGGATCACAGATGCCTTCAGGTAAAAAAATGGAATATCAACACTTAAATAGCCATAATTTTGTATTTGTTTTACCTGTAGTTGGCAAATACATTTAGAGGTGTCTTACTTTTCTGGCATCTTCTACCAATGTATCCTTCACGACAGGCACACACATTATTTCTCATGCAGTGACCACCATTCTTACAGGGAGGGAGACAGATAGCTGAAAAACACAAATAAGCATCTGTGAATATCACAATCAATTATTATACGCTACATATTGCATCATGTGCTTGTTATCTATGGGGCCATCAGGCAGAGAAATGTGCTATTAAAATAAAAGATCACAAATGCAAGTCATTAAAACTGTCCTTTCTAAATCATAAAAGGCAATGCTTATAGCTATAAGCTGCTGCTAGCATGTTAGCACATTTGAAATATATTGGTGAAGTGTTCATAAGAAATTGAGTCTTTGGTATTATAGTGCATCTGTTATGAACCTTATCCTATGTTTCATCATATTCTGAAGTAAAATGGGAAATGATGCGGGAAAAACTAAGAAAATAATTCAAAGCCTAGCTCAAAGTAAGAATATATCTGTTCATGCGGAAATTAGAAAACTCTCAACAAGTTGTCATGTGACACTTAGAAAACACTTTCCAGCTAACTTTTGAAGACTTATGAGGTCATGATTCTGTTCCATAGAATTCAGATATTTTTTAATATTTACTGCTTGATATGATTTTTATTGCTTCACATTTATCCTGCATATAATCATTAAATGCAGCTATTTGGAAAAATAATACACAGGCAAACTTGCCTGGAAATTTTTAATTTTTTTCCAAAATGGTAACTAAATGGATTTTATTTTATAATTTAAAAATAAAAGTCAAATGAACACTTTTTGATAACAGGGTTATTGTAGACTGATTTCCACTTTGAATTAGATCCATCTTTAATAGTTGCTTTCTTTATTTTCAACCACTGTAAGGAAAATTCAACTGATTTCAGATGAACATACGAATAAAAATAAATAAGCACTTCACATGTAAAACCAATATAATGGAATAATTTTAACAAATGAGTAATTTCCATTATTTTAGAGCCAGTCTTTATGGTCAACACTACAGTCTATTTTCTCTGGAATTGAATTGGTACTTTTTATTATGGAGAAATGAATGCTCTTATATTTTCTGCTTCCTAACCTTTCTAAAGTTTAAGATAATTTCTACTTATTAACAGAAAATGTGTTCTCTCTATCATAAAAACACCACAGGAAGTACCTATGGTTAGAAATCTGAAATTAAAAACAAGAATAAAAGGGCCTCCCTGGTGGCGCTAGGGGTTCAGATGCAGCCTATGAAGCAGTCTGCAGCCTCTACAGCACAAGTTTGATCCCCGGCCGGCCCAGAAGCTGCCCACATGGTGCAGCAGACCTCTCCTGTCTCACCAGCCGCTTCTCTCAGCAGTGGGCTTCGGTTGATCTACCTGTTTTGTTCCCCACTCTGTCTCTAGTGAATCCTCTCACCCCCCACACCTCTGGTCTGTACCCCAGCTCTTGTATGCATAAATGAATAAATCTTTAAAAAAACAAGAATAAAAGACCTGTTTATGATGGGTAACTTTACTATAATCAATACTCATCTGGGCCTCCCTGTTGGCGTAAGGGGTTAAGCACTGCACTATGAAGCAATCCACAGCCTCTGCAGCATGAGTTCAATCCCCGGCCGGCCAGGGAGCAACTCACATGGCACGACAGACCTCTCCTGTCTCGCCTGCTGCTCCCCTCAGCAGTGTACTTCAGTCAGTCTGCCTCTTCTGTTCCCCACTCTGTCTCTGGTGAATCCTCTCACCCCCTGCATCTCTGGCCTGTACCCCAGCTCTTGTATGCATAAATAAATAAATCATAAAAGAAAATACTCATCCACCCCACAAAACTTGAGTATAGAGACAAATACTATGTTTTTACAAAAATGTATATATAACTAAAATTATATAGAGAAATGATATACAACTTATGATTGACTGTACCTACCCCTAATTGTATTTTAGGAAAAGGAGGTTTAGGAGGAAGTCCTCCTTCACATGTGTATTTATGAGATTATCCAGGTCTCAGATGAATCTTCCATTAAATTCCAAAGTGAGTCAAGTAAGAGAACTCACCTTCCATGTGGATTGAACTCAAGGGCATTCAAGAGACAAAAGAAATTGGAAGATGTATTTGAGCATCTCCTTAGACACACACAATAAACCTTTTTTATTAATAGAATTGTTTAACTCTCATGATGTTTCTACCTCAATGTCTGTCCTCCTTTCTTAAAATTCTATACGACAGTATATATCCCTCATTATTTACTTTTGACTATATTCTACCTAATTTTACTCCATGACTTTTGACTGATGTTCCATCTACTTTCCTACCACTTGGACTCACATAAGGCCCACAGGAGATGTGCTCTCATAAGAATAAGATCACGGCCTCCCATGGTGGCACAGTGGTTGAGTGCTGGGCTGCAAAGCTGCCTGCAGCCTCTGCAGTGCCAGTTCGATCCCCGGCCACCAGCGAGGGTCCCACATGGGGTGCAGACCTCTCCTGCCAGGCCCCCTGCTCCCCTCAGAAGTGTGTTTCATCGGTCTGCCTGTTCTGTTCCCCGCTCTGGCTCTGGTGAATTCTCTCACCCTTCTGCGTTTCTGACTGTACCCAGTGTTTGTATAAATAAATAAATAAATATTTAAAAAAAAAAAAGAATAAAGATCACATTTCTATTTCTTCTGCTTCTGCTGTAAATCTAATGACAATATTTCTATTATTTAAGAGTAGCTAGCCATGTGCTGACTGTATGTGCAAGTGGTCCGCCTCACAGCAACAGTTTAGCTCAAACTTAAAAATCAAGAAGACTGAAGTCTGGAGACTTTCGGTGAATTTCCATAATTCATGCCAGGTAAGAAGTTGTAGAGACTAATTCTAATACCTGCTAACATGACATATATTCAATAGATAATTTTTAGTTCAATTTAATAATTTAGAGATCTCCCTCCTTTCCCCGTTACATGGATGGCATATAAATTTAGAGGAGAATTTTTCTTACTGTGACTTACATCTACTGCAAGTACATGAGAAGTGTAAGCTTTTTCATTTCCCTCTTAACATTCTCTACTGGAAGCTATACCATTAACTTGTAAACATTGGTTTAGATTTAGTCTCCTAATATTCAATATTTGTCTTAACAGTCTTTATTGTTTTTCCATTTCACAAAATGGTTCCTTCAGGGAAAATCTGAATTAGAGGAACTCATTTCCTATGCCCACATATCTAGTATTACAGTAATGGTTTCTTCTCTGCCTGAGCGGTAACCTACAAATGTTAGCCAAGCTTCAAATAAAAGGATCAAGTCAAAGCATAACATGGCAAGGATAGTATATGTTTTAGGAATTAAATTCTAACATGTTCTGACATGTTTTTATTAAAAAACCTGTTGTATATTTTGCATAAACTCAAAATATGAAAATGCAGAAAATAAATTTTATATTTCATTTATTGATATTAATTCACACCTATGCCATCAGGTATCAGGATATTTCCACTATTATGAAATTCTTAACTGTTCAAAGGAAAGCGTTAAAATCGGCCATGAAAGGGGGAATCAATGTATTTGTCCATCCCCACCCATCTTGTACAGTGCTGTGCATAACAGTTTTTTCATAAATTTTTAATAAAACTTAAGTCAAAAAAGATTGTGAAGTAATAGTAGACATTAGTGAGCATAAATCAATCATTTTTTTGCTGTAAAGCAACAAAAACTATGCCATTTCATATAATAAGTTGCTAAAGAGAACTTTGCCCATCCTACAGTTTTGTAGGATTAACAGTTTTGTAAGGATTACAGTTACTGTAAGGACAAGTGCCAAGGTTGGAAGCCCAATATATGCTGAACAAATATAACCACTTTTCATAGCAACTCAGATATGTTTATCTGAACAGTCTGTTGGGGACAAAACCTACACTATCAGAAGAAATAGAAAAATAGCATCTTCTTTGAAACCTGTCTCTTTGTGTTCACTCAGAGCTCTGTTTAGGTCTGACTTTCCCTTTGCCTTTTTATTTATAAGGAAAGAATAATTACCATTCTGACATCGTGCACCAAAGAATCCATTTAGACACAGGCAAGTGTTTGGCTTATTACAGGAACCACCATTGAGGCAAACGGGGTCACACAAAGCTAATGAACAGCAGGAGGGAAAGAGTTCATAAAGGTTTTATTATTTTAAAAAATGAAAGCTACACAGAAGTCCAAAATAGTGCATGATGAAATAGTTTATTTTTACCGCAATTAAAACCCACAACCTATAATTAATTAGACTTTGCCAAACATAAAGGGAATGAAATAAGTGGAAAACAGCTTTGGAAGTATGTTCATTAAGTTTACAAATACCACCAAGCTAAGAATGTGGGGGTTATGATTAAAATTAAGAGTACTCTCGGTAAGCTAAAAAATGATTGGAAGTTAGAAGACATTTCCACAGTACTAGCCAAATTGTCTATAATATGCTTAAATACATGTGACCCTTGCTTTATCCTTCCCAATTCAAATAGGAACACTGCACTCAGCCCTAGCTAGCACTCTCAAACACATGTTGTTTCTTTACATTTACTCTACTTTGAAAGGCATTGCAATTCCATTTTTTTTTACCTACATTTTACCTATTCTCCAAGGTCCACCTCAAATAATATTTTTTTTCATAACTGCTGGTGCCAGAATTGATTTCTCAGAACTATGTTACATTATTTATTAGAACCCAACTTGTACCTTAGTCATTTTTATAAATGTATCCTGTCTGTCCTTCACTAATGATATCCACTTGAAATCAGATCAAAAATCAAGTTGATCTTTCTTTCCCCTTGCATCATGTTTCACACATAGTTAGCAAGCTATAACAGTTGAATTAAATTTATTTTGAGAAAAGTCATTAGATCATGATGATCAGTTTAAACATAGATAATTGTAAATGCTGCTACCAAAGAAGTAAGCTTGATACTGTGATAATTAAGCGGAATGATGTGATGGTGTCTGCTTGAATGCTTAATGTTTAATGAAATAGAATGTCTGTGTTGTGATAAAAATCTTGAAAGATGCAACCGAGATATCTTGCAATAAGGCAAGTGGATGAGGAAAATATAAAGATATAAATAAAATGATTGGTTGGTTAGTGTAATAGTAAAGCTGAAATACACTCTATGTTCTACTATGAAAAAAAAATCAATGGAATACAGGGTTTTAAAAAATAAAAGCATCATGCTGATATTGCAAGATTAGTTTCATGCTTCTTGGTATAAGTCTTTAGGACTCAGGTGCATTTAAGATTTCTTTTAATTGGTTTTCATTGAAAATATTTCTGATTTTACCTGTACTGCAGGTGGGTCCATACCATCCAGGCTTGCACCGGCAGACATCTGGTGCAAGACATTCACCTCCATTTTCACAGTGCCTGTTACAAACCACTAATATCATAGGACAAAAATAAAAGAAAGATAAATTTGGATTGAAGTTAGTCAATTATTGGGTATTACTTTGCTAGCTCATAACTACCAATTATATTCTCTAGTAAAAAAAAAAAAAAGCAGAGTAAAAACTAAAAATAATTTGGCTTTAAGTGGTCTCCAATTCTTATATTCAGTTGTTTTCTTACTAACCAAGATGGGAAAAGTTAAAAAAAAAAAATCATTAAGTTAAATAGATAAATAAGAGCTGGTTATTTGGGAAAAATCTTTTAGTTATGAAAGTAACCACAGACAGAAATCCAATGAGATAAATTTATACATGAATTATCAAATTAGAATTTTTGTTATCTCAAAGAAAGGGACCATAGAGTTAAGAGAGTTGATTCTAAGAATGGATTTCTTCTCCTTAGCCAATGGCACCCAGTGCTGCCAGTGTATGCAGAGTGTATGCAGAAATGTAAAAATTTTTTCTCAGAGTTATGCTTAGGGCTTATTTCTGCTAGTATTAAAATCATCAAATATTCAAAAAAATATTTAATTATATTAGACTGCAAAAGAGTTTTGCTTACTTGTTTCACACCTTGGTCCTACAAAACCATAAGGGCAAGTGCAGAGATTGCCAACCAAACATGTGCCACCATGCTGACAAGGTGGGCTGCAGTGTTCTGTCAACACAAACCATGTTAGTAAGTCATCTCTGGATTTTAAGTCAGTTTATAGCACAGGCACAAGACACGTTTCTTTTAAGAACACCGTATATGGCCTCCCTGATGGCATAAGCGGTTGAGAAGCAACCTATGCAGCCATCTGCAGCTACTGCAGCACAAGTTTGGTCCTGGCCAGGCAGGGAGCTACCCACATGGCACAGCAGACCTCTGATGAATTGCTTGCTGCTCCCCTCAGTAGTGTATTTCAGTCAATCCGCCTGTTCCCTGCTCCCCTCTCTGTCTCTAGTGAATCCTCTCACCTCCCACACCTCTGGCCTGTACCCTAGCTCTTGTATGTATAAATAAATATACCTTTTAAAAAAAAAGAATGCCATACAACAAACTTAGCTAAACTATAATAATGAACTTTTACCATGAAAATTTAGTTCTGTGGAATTGACTATATGGCTTCTCGCTCTGAAAACTCACATTGGTTTATAAAAATTTTGTTTACATGAATGGAAATAGTTGACCTTAGCCTGCTACTGAGAAGTGAGACTTGGACTTATACATTTCTTCTCCACAAGTAGAACACTTCTATATTTCCATGGTTATGTTCATATGCTATTGATCTTAAATATTTGTTAGTGCACTCTAAATTTACTTTAATTTTTTAAGTTGTACCTTGCCTTGTCATGAAAATAATTTAATGTGGCCCTCAGCTTAATAATTATATGTGCCATATGCCAAAATGTATTCTTTAAATTTTTTTTATTTTTTTTTTTAAGATTTATTTTTATTTATTTATATAAGCACTAGGTACAGTCAGAAGCACGGGAGGGTGAGAGAATTCACCAGAGCCAGAGCCGGGAGCAGAGCAGGCAGAAGGACCGAAGTACACTGCTGAGGGGAGCAGCGGGCGGCAGGAGAGGTCTGCGCGCCATGTGGGACCCTCCTCCGGTGGCCGGGGAGCAGCCAGGGATTGAACCGGCGCTGCAGAGGCTGCGGCAGCTTCGCAACCCAGCGCTCAACCGCTGCGCCACCGGGGAGGCCCTAGTCTTTAAATTTTTTAAGAAATAAATAATAATTTTGTTTCTTCAAAATATCCATTTTAGCAATCCCATTTTATAAACGCTTCACTTCAGATTTCAACCAAAGCAATAAAATTATGTGACTATAGACATTAAAAAAAAATCACTTTAGACTTCTTACTACTTCTAATGAATTCTAATGGTTACATCTTATTATTTGACATTTAACACTTCCTTGAAACTGTTTGATAAGTCATTCACTAATCAGATGTCTTTTGCTTGAAGCTAAAATATTTGTAGAGATAATGTACCTTAAAACTAAATCTTTAGAAGTTATTGCCAAGTAATCTTTTAGAAAAGGTTTTAAAGGAAATATTCTTTTATTCTAGATCTATTATTTGATTTTTAATTTGAATCATTACCTTCATCACAAGTTGTTCCACCATATCCTGGGGGACATTCACAAATGTTAGGCTTTATACATCTTCCATGGTTTTTGCAATCAGGATGGCACACAGCTGTATAAAATAAAGTTTGTGGTTTAGAAATATCAGGTACCAATTAAAATTCACAACGCATACCAATTAGTACTATACCTACCAGTTTGGCAATTGGATCCAGTGTAACCAGGTTTACATTTGCAGGTGTTAGGGGCAACACACTCCCTGCTTTTTCCACAGGGATGTCTGCAAATGGCTGTAAAAGTCAAGGAAAAAAGGACTGAATTGTTGGTACAATAATGTATTGCTTATAGTCTTAGTTATAATTAAAGTAAAATTCTCTGAAATTTGAAAATTTTGATACTATTAAGCAATAACACTAGCTCCATAAATTTTTTCCCTCATATTTATTTTGCTGAGGGAAAAGATTAACAGGGTAAGAAAAGTACCAAATGCGTTAATTCTCCCCAAGCAAAACCTGATGTTGGAGATGGCTCCTAACCCATAAATAGGATTATGTCCTTTTCAGAAGACAATCAAATTTCAGATTCTTATCAGGTAAATGTTGTTAATGGCAGGGATATTCATAATTTCAAAGAACAAGATGCCAGGAACACATATATACACTTAATAGGTCTGCATCCCTTAAGATTTTCAAGTTAGGGCCTCCCCGGTGGCGCAGCGGTTGAGCGCTGGGTTGCGAAACTGCCCGCAGCCTCTGCGGCACCGGTTCGATCCCCGGCTGCTCCCCGGCCACCCAGAGGAGAGTCCCACATGGCGCGCAGACCTCTCCTGCCGCCCGCTGCTCCCCTCAGCAGTGTACTTCGGTCCTTCTGCCTGCTCTGCTCCCCACTCTGGCTCTGGTGAATTCTCTCACCCTCCCACGCTTCTGACTGTGCCCAGTGCATGGCATTTAACATTAAAATTCAGTAGTCTGTTTCATGTTATTTATTGATAATAAGAAATGTTATAAGCAGTAAATGTTGAAAGTTATTATTATATCTCTACAGAGAAAAAGACAAAATTAAAGTTCCTCTAGGTAATACTGAGAACACAACAATATTGCAACAGCTCCATCACTTAAATCAAAACACAAGAAAAACAAAATAATAGTAAACAGCACAAAACAAAAAACCACTTCTATGTTATCAAAGTCAAAAATTTGATTTGCATTAGAGAAAACACGCTGATTGTGAAAAGGAGTAAACGTCTTTCAAGTTTAAAATGATACACAACTTGTTTTATTTTCAAGGTCAAGGAATTACAGAGAAATCTGTTTTATGCAAATAAGCAAATATGACAAAATAAGTAATTTACAGTACTAAATGCCCTCTGTGAGCTGAAAAGAGCCCAGATCACAATGTTATTCAAATCCTTATTTTGTTGTCTGTATCTGCTTAACACCAGAAAATTCTGTGCTTTAAGGCTTTGATGTTTTATCTGCAAAATGGGAAATATAACACTCAATATGTGGGGTCCTTGTGGATTACATGATATGATGGATAAAGAACGTTTCCACAGACCCTGGAATACAGTTGGGACTAAATAAATACATTTATAACATATTATATAGTTGTAATATTTTTAATATTAAAATTATTTGAAAATATAACTCAAAACCACACAATTTTGTTATAAAGAAAATGTACACAAATAGTAAACTGAAATGAATATAAATGTGTGAACCTAATGGGATAAACAGAAATTTGTATAGAAATGCATCTCTTTCTAATTATCTAAACATGATAATTTTTTTTTAAAGACTGCTTTTTTTTTTTTAAAGATTTATTTATTTATTTATTTATACAAACACTGGGTATAGTCAGAAGCGCGGGAGGGTGAGAGAATTCACCAGAGCCAGAGCAGGGAGCAGAGCAGGCAGACTGACAAAGTACACTGCTGAGGGGAGCAGCGGGCGGTAGGAAAGGTCTGCGCGCCATGTGGGACCCTCGCTGATTACCCGGGATCTAACCGGTGCTGCAGAGGCTGCAGGCAGCTTCGCAGCCCAGTGCTCAACCACTGTGCCACCAGGGGAGGCCCTAAAGATGATAATTTTTAAAACATGATAATTTGTATCTTCTGAAGAGTTTTCATACTACCTCTGCAATTGATGCCATCTCCATAATACCCAAAGGGGCAGCGCCCACATTGGAAGTGACCATCTGTGGTTGGCACACAGGGAACACCAAGAAAACAAGGCAGCTGGGCACAAGCAGATGATGTTGTGGTAGATTCAGGCTTTTCTGGCAAAATGGTAATTGTGCTAGTAATTGATGATGCAAATCCATCCTCATATTCTTCGTAACCTGGGGCAGATCTGTTAACTTGATCATTATACCCTCCTATCTCTGTTTGGACCGTGTTCTGCATCATACCCTTTACTTCACCAGGGGAGTTGCCAGGGACAATACATGAAGGACTGCAGTTACTAATAGGAACTTTGAAATCCTCCAGGCTGAGATTTGTGCTAAGAGTATGATCCGCAAGTTCAAAATCTGGTATCTGATGGGAAATAGCCTTCCTTGAATTATTCACTGAAGGTGTAACTGATTTTAGCAAGGAGAGTGAGTTGCTGCTGGTATCCAGTAAGTTTTTGATAGTAATTGGACTGTGGGTAAAGCCAGTATCAACTGGTGACTGCTCTGCTGATGATGACTGAAAATTTATACCTAAACAAAAAGAAAAACATTAGTTAAAAAAACACACACATTTTAATGTTCTACTATCCATAGTTGTGAACATTATGCAATTCATTCCTTCATTTAGTAGGAACCTGTAGTGATATGAAGTCATTATACAGTTCCTGCCTTCAAGGTATTTATGATTCATTTGGATACTTAAAATAACCCAGGACTTTAAATGGTTTAAAAATCAAGGAACAGGGGGGCCTACCTGGTGGCACAAGGGGTTAAGCACTGCACTATGAAGCAATCCTCAGCCTCTGCAGCATGAGTTCAAGCCCCGGCTGGCCAAGGAGCAACCCACATGGTGTAGCGGATCTCTCCTATCTCGACTGCTGCTCCCCTTGGCAGTGTATTTTAGTTGGTCTGCCTGTTCTGTTCCCTACTCTGTCTCTGGTGAATCCTCTCACCCCCTGCATCTCTGGCCTGTACCCCAGCTCATGTATGCATAAATAAATAAATCTTTAAAAAAAAATTAAAGAACAGGGCCTCCCTGGTGCACAAGGGGTTAAGCACAGCACTGTGAAGCTATCCACAGCCTCTGCAATATGAGTTTGCTCCCCAGCCAAGGAGCTACCCACATAGAGCAGCAGACCTCTCCTGTCTTACCCACCGCTCCCCTCAGCAGTGTATTTCAGTCAACCTGCCTGTTCTGTTCCCCTCTTTCTCTGGTGAATCCACTCACCCCCTGCACCTCTGGCCTATACTGCAGTTCTTGTATGCATAAACAAATCTTTAAAAAAAATTAAAGAACAATAATTAATAATTGTATTAGCATTAGAAATAGCCAAAAAGATTTATTGACTACCTAATACAATGAAAAATTTTGGAGAATTTTGAAGGATTTCATAAAACACAGAAAGCATATATGGGTTAAACTAATAGAGAAACAAGATGTACCAAATATAGCCACAAACATAAACAATAAGCATGGTTAGGTGTAAACAAATAAAAGGAGCAAGAGAGTCCTAGCTGTTAATCCTCCAGTGAAATGATTTAAAGCCCTGCTTGACACCTATGTCGGTCAAATGAGTGTTCCCTTTCCTGGGTCCATTGATACTGAAGAACTGTTCCCACCTGCTTCTAACTGCTTTATGTGAACCATCTCCATAGAAGAGTTTTTGCTTAGTATTAGACAAGGAAGTAGAGAATGTTGGATTTAATGGTGGTGGACTGTAGGTGATATGGTGGCAGGTACCTTATGGTGGTGATACCTGATGGGGAGGATCCCAATGAGCTCTCAAATAAGAGAGTAAGTTAAAAAATTAATTCATTAACTAATCAAATTCTCATAGAATGCAAAAAATAAAGAATAATATCCATTCTAAACAAAAACCCCACAAAAATATATAGTAAAAGAAAGGAAGGAGTATATATTAGTAAATAAACATTAGTAACAGCTAAATAATAAAAACCAATGGAAAAATAGGAAATACATCTCCACATATATATATATCAATTTAATAAATAAAAATCATGGTATGTAAATTCATTGGGAACACTATGGCTTATTTTACAAAATGATAATACATAACTGCATATTCATCTAGAAGAAAAAATATTGTTGGGCCTCAAACTCACATAAAATAATAAATTCCAGTGGATTAAAAACTAGACATAAAATACAAAATAATAAATGTACTATAATAGAATTTAAGCCATCAAATGCATAACTGATGAGCTGGGAGATCACATGAAAAAAATAAATAGTAGAAAGATAAATCAACTTTGAAATAAGAAAAATCTATATATGAAGAGAATTTTAAATTATACATGAATTACTATTAATAATTTTAAATTAAGAATGTGAAGTCTAAATTATATAGATTTCTTTACAAAATATAAATTATTACATTGACTCAGATAATATAGTTTATAGAACAATAACTGTGAAAGAAATAGAAAAATAATCTAAAATCATTCCCCTAACTGATTTACAACCTAATAAAAAGTTTCAATTAATCAAAGAAAGAATATTTTATGAAACTATTGTAATGCACAGAAAGAGATGAAGTTTTATAAACATTTGGAAGTAGTGGCAAAATCCAAGTCAACACTTCATGAAAATAGGTAAAATTATTAAATGATTTAAGCTTAAGAGGCTCATTCCTGATTTAGAACTAAAGAGAACTATAAACTAGTAACAGATAAAGGGGAAATTCTTCAAACGGATGAAGGGCATTTAGTAAAAACCTTCTCAATGTGTATCCTACTGATTGGTGAAACGGGGGGGAAATTTTCATTAAAATCATTAAGAACACAACTATTTCATCCTAACAGGCTTTGTCCTGGAGTTCTCCACTACTGCAATGAGAGCCTAATTTGAGAGCTGGGACTCTGCAGTTAGATTTCTCGGGTTCAAATCTCTCTTCTGTAATCTACAAACTCTGTAAATCTAAACAAATAACTTAACTGGTTTATGTCTCTCTGTTTAGTCATCTATAAAGTAGAAATAGTTACTGAATATAGCACTTGTGATCAAATGAGATACTATATAAAAAATATTTGCATAGTATAGGCACAGCATAATTTAGACTATATGTTAATTATTATTATGATAAGTAAATAAAAGCAAAATACAAACTCACTATTTAAAAAAAAACTATTACTAACTATAAAATAAAGGAAGAATCAACTATAAAAAACAGCATAAATAAGAGATTTTAGTAAAATCAAGACAGCTTTCTTATATTGCAGCAGTAACATCTTGCAAGAGTTGAGCAACTAATATGCTATGCTGAGGCATAAAGAAAGCTAAGGTGAATGTGAAAATCTTTACGAAAACAATAAATGTTATTCAGTAAAATGAGAGTTACAAAGAAAACTATGAAAAGGATAAGGCCTTGGGAATTAACATGCTTATTACTTTTTCTTGAACAGATATTGGATGAGAGGGATTTATTGAATATAAGTTTAAAATGTTTACTTCCAACCATAAGTTTTTCTGAAAATACTTTAAATAATGATGTCAGTTGTTCATTATACAATATGAATCATTTTTATAGACTGTAAGTCAGAAGATTCCACAGATTAGCAAAATGATCTTTTATAAACTTCATTATATAACCTTACATAATTTTTCTAAAAATGAAAATATATGAGGAATAAATACATCAATCTTTTGGAAAACAAATGGGTAGTATTACTTGTCATCAGATTTAACTAAGATCATTCCTTACCAGAGGCGTTTCTATATGTTGGATGAACAACTCTCTCTCCCTCTCTGCCATATTTACCATCCTCTTCCTTAGTTATCGGGCTGTCAGACTGTGTGAGAACTACATCATGTTTACTAAATTCGTTTAAAAACTGTGTTTCAGCTGTAATTGTGAAAATAAAAACACATCAGATTTAAAATGCTATAATCCCAAGCACTGTGAGTAAGAACATACATTAAAAATATCCTTTGGCTTGAACATTTTGCAAAGCAGATTAGAGAACTCATTAAAATGTCACTCTTCAGCAAAACATTCTGTTGTGGACTGAATTGTTGACATTCATATATTGCAGCCCTAATTGTATATGAGACTGTATTTGGATACAGTGCCTCTAAGGCAGTAAATCAAGGTTAAATGAGGTCATGAGTATGGTGTCTAACACATTAGGATCGGTGTCCTTATAGGAGGAGAGGCACAAGGAGAGTTGATGGGTGAGGACACAGTGAGAAACAACCGTTTGCAAGCCAAGGAGAGAAGGCAGAAACCAAACCTATTGGGACCAAGATCTCCCAGTCCCTGGACCTGTAAGAAAATAAATCTGTTAAGCCACCCAATCAATTCCACCCATCTGTGTTCTTCCACAGAAATTTATCCTTCACGATATTGACATTTGTGTGTGTGTTTTCTCCCCTAATCAGCAACTGCAAGAATAAGAACTGTGCTGTATTTACTTCACATTCACTGACTCTGGTGCCTACCCCAAAACTAAGTAAACACTATCAGCAATGAAAAAAAAAAATGCATTAACAAACATCTTCCTAAAACAAACAAATGACTTTGACAGTCAAGAAACTTCATTACTCATGTGTAATATTTGGTTCAAACTATTTTTATCTTAAATTACATTTAATAAATGTTTTATGGAGAGAATGAGTCTCTGAAAAAGCCCAGTGTTAGTCGCTTTGGTGTACATGGTATCTTTCATCCCAGATGTTATTGTTGAGTATCTGAGACTAGATACTGATGGGGAAGTAAAGAACTGAACTAGTAGGAAATTCCACTTTCCATCCTGCACTATTCTTGTATCTGTTATCTCCAGCTCTACACAGGCCCACATAATTTGAAGCACAAGTGGTATTACATCATTTATGTGTGTGTTTATTTCTTCCATCAATATTCAAACTCATTCCCTTAATGACACTGAAGATATGGTTCTTTGACACTGTTTTCTATAGTTTATTTTTCTCTTGTAATCCTTCAAAATATAGATACCAGGTTCTCCCTGCTGGCACAAAGGGTCGGGCGTCAGCACCGTGAGGCGGTCAGCAGCTACTGCAGCACGAGTTCGATCCCCAGCCAGGGAGGTGATCCACATAGCGCAGCAGACCTCTACTGTCTCACTCGCGTCTCTCCTTAGGAGTGAATTTCAGTCAATCTGCCTGTTCTGCTCCCTACTCTGTCTCTGGTGAATCCTCTCACCCCCAGCATCTCTGGCCTACACCCCAGCTCTGGAATGCATACATAAATAAATATTTAAAAAATAAAATAAATAAATAAAATATAGATACCCACCAATTTTTTTGTCCCCTTTTCTCTAAATCTAAGTATTCCCCCCGGGCAATTTCATCCATGATCAATGACCCTAAGAATTGTGCCTTTAACTTAATCATGTACGCTGAGTTCCACGTGGATATTGTCACCTCAGTCTCTTTGCATCCAAACTGAATTCATTATACTTCCAAAACTATTAATACTTCTTTCCTATATTTCATGTGCATATTAGTCAACTCAAGGTCATAACAAAATAATCATAGATTGAGTTTCTTAAGCAACAGGAATTCATTTTCTGTTCTGGAGGGCAGGAAATCCAAGGTCAAGGTGCAAGCACATTCAGTTTCTGGAGAGAACTACTTTCGATTCATAGTTTCGACCTTCTCCTATGTCCTCCCATGGAAGAGAGAGAGAGGCAGAGAGAGAGCAAGCAAGCTAGTGAGCGAGCACAAGCTCCCTGGCATCTACTCTTACAGGGACACTAATGCTGCCACATCAGGGCTCCATTCTTATGATCTCGTTAACCTTAACTTCTTCCTTATTCCAAATATAGCCAAAGCATGGGTTAGGACTTAGGAATTTGGTGTTATAGCAATGTGAATCAATTATATACACTCATTCACCTAAACCAAGCAATTGAGCCTTAGTAACGTACTGTGCTAATCCCAATCACTGAACAAATATTACCCACTTGCTTCTTCAGGACCTCTTTCATTTATTTGCCCTCAAATTAGATCAGAATATTTTCATGTCTTTCTTACATATTTTTCAATATTGCTTTAGCACTTTTTCTCACCTTCAGGCTTACAGATTTGCTTACCCTCAAGAGGTCTGTACTTCACACTATTCTGACACAACCTTTCTCAAGTGTAAACCTTAAGAAGGTATTTCTCATGGTTTCTCATTGATCTGGCCATTAACTATCTCTCTAGTTCCAACTTTTGCAGAAGATCCCCTGACTTCCTTTACTTCAGGCACATGAATTGTCACAGTGGTCAAGGTATACTGTGATGCCACAGCTCACTGGGCCTTTGTTGATGCTGCTTCTTCTGTCTAGAATATTTCTCTTGCTGTTGATTCCATACACCAGATTTAACTTTTTTAAACTTTTCATTATCCTTCCAGAAAACATGGGTCCCTGTGTACTATTTTTACTATTCACACCAGGGACCCCTATCAAAATACAAAGGATAATATTGTATTGTGTAATAAATGATTTTAAACACCATATTCCCTGCTCTTATACTCAAATTAAGTCAGAGGTCATATATACTTTTACATCCTCTGCATCTAGCTTAGTGTATGACACATCTCATACATATGTGTATACTGAATGAATGCACAAGTAAAAGAACTATCTGGTTTGAATTAATTAAATTCAACAAAAAACATTTCATGGAAGAAAGTAGGGATTTTTACCATGGCATACTTTTCCATCACCATAAAATCCTTTTGGACATGACCTACAATGATAGGAACCAATGGTATTGAGGCACTCTACTTCTGGAAAGCAAGGTCTAGATTCACACTCATCAACATCATCCTGGCAATTTTTGCCTTAAGGAAATATAAGAAAAAGTTAAGTATGTCATGACTGCATAAGATGTAGATATGTAGATAATAATCTTTTATCATTTATTACCATAAAATAGGCGTAAATCTAATGACTGCAATAATGTATACCATAAGAAATTTTAGTGTATAGCTTAGGTTACCATGAAGCAATTGTATCAATTATCAGGCTACCATAAAGCAATAATATTCCTGCTTCTTTGATACCAATGCTTGAATCATTATACCTGTTTGTTTTTGATGTCCAGTGTTAGTAATACATACAACATCTATGGTGTTTTGTACCATGTAAGACAGTATTGATGTAGGTACTTATAGACAGATGGCATATGGTATTGATCAGTACAGTACATTATTATAGATGTATTTTCTTTTATGATTTTCTTAATTAATTTTCATTTCTCTAGCTTACTTCACTGTAAGAATATAGCACATAAGACATATAACATATAAAATATGTGTTGATTCAATGTTTAAATTATTGGTAAGACTTCTGATCAGTAGTAGCTATTAGTAGTTATGCTTGGGGGAGGTCAAAAAATTACATGCAGACAGTTGCCAGATTTTCAACTGAAATTTGCACAAAGAATAACATACGTAGTAATATTACAAGGCACTGTATAAACATAAGGTTTTAGACTTCCCTCAGATAAAATTACATGGGAAGAGAGAATAATTATATCTTTTATCTTATGATAACTGGTTTTTTGACCAAGGAAACAATGTGAGGAATGCCCATGCAAAATTCTACAAAGTTGTAGGTAGGGAAGTGAAAAAAAATAATACAATATTTAACTATAATTTAGGGGATTTTTTTTTTTGGTAGAAAATGTATCCAGAAATTATCTATACTCAATAATATCCTTACAGAGTTACAGAAAGGGAGGGCTGGAAGGTATTTTATAGATAAAAGAATTCAGATAATCTTATTTAACAGATGATAATGAATGGCCTTAGGAACTTAAATCGTTAAATACCAGTCACAAAACTGAAAAGAGGTAAGGCTAAGAATAGGATTTGTTTTTATATTCAAAAGAACAGATTTATTATGAAAAGGGAGAGAAGGAAAAGGACACTTGTGTAGACACAAGCAAGCAGAAAGAGCTGCCCCAAAAGGGACAGGTCTGCAAAAAGAGAGGCCTGCGTGGTCATAGGCCAGCAGCTTTGATGAGAGCTACTTCTGGGAGGTCAGTGAAGAGAAGCCCTGCATGGCACACAGGTCACAGGCAGGCAGGAGGGCTGCTGCCCTGCAGAGGGAGAGAGTTGACAGCAAAGAGCTCCTGCATAGGCACAGGCGGATAGAAGGGCCACAGCTTATGCTCTACAAAAGGAAATGATTGGTGAAAAGAAGCACTTGCATAGTCACAGGTGGGCAGAAGGACTGACACTAAAATAGGATTTAAACCATTGGTCTCAAAATAATTTTCTTTTTCCGCTAAACCCACTGATCTCTACTGATGGAGTTTTGTGTATTTATCTAGTACTCGAGAGGCCATTTTGCCAGTAGTTATTTGATTTGCCCAGATTGTGTGTAGCTAGATTTATCATTCTCATTCTTCCATTAATAATCTACATTTATTTTCCTTCGCAAATATTTAAATAACAATCCTACACCCCACTGTAGAATAATTATAGAGATTATATAAGAGAAAACAATTTCATCCTATTTCTCCTTCCAGCAAAGTAAATTATGCAGTTAGGAAAGATGCTAAACTAAACACAAGGTTCACCTTAAACACACTTATGAAATTTGTAGTTTAAAATCACTTTTAAAATATCTTGTATCTGAAATATTTGGATTAATAAAGAACAACTTACTCTGTAAAAGTGACCAAGTAGTTTTTGAAATGTTAGGTCTACAAGTCAAACAAGGGCTGGTAGGATTTTTATCCCCTTCAATGTAGCAGAATCCATCAATAATGCAAACATTTTCCTAATGAAATTTTTTTAAAGGAAAACACACATATTAAAAAAGGTTACATCTATGGTTAGTATTTGGGGGGGAGGAAACTATACATAGGAAGATAGCAGCACATGTATGGATGATTCCAATGGAAGTATATTTCAATGTTTTGATTAAAACATATTTTTCACATCTCCAGTCATAAATGGATGTTAAAAAAACAAACAAGTTAGGGCCTCCCTGGTAACGCAAGGGATAAGACGCAACCTATGAAGCAATCCGCAGCCATGGCAGCACGATTTCCATTCCTGGCCAGCCAGGGAGCAACCCACATGGTGCAGCAGACCTCGCCTGACTTACCCGGCTGCTCCCCTCAGCAGTGTACTTTGGTCAATCTGACTGTTCTGTTCCCCACTCTGTCTCTGGTGAATCCTCTCAACCCCCACGCCTCTGGCCTGTACCCCAACTCATGTAAGCATAAATAAATAAATCTTTAAAAAATAAAAAAAAACAAGTTATATTCTTTATTTATAAATGTCATTGGAACAATTACTATGGAGGAAATAAGAAAATACATACAGTTGTATCACTGTGCAGAAGAATTACAACATATAGCTTATAAGTATCATGGAAGAAAATCCTTCTTGTTACATTTTTATTTAACTGCTAAATTCACACTGGAAATACTTCCCTTATAAAGAAATGAAAGAGATATTTTCTCTGCACATCGAAAATCACATTAGTTTCAAGCAATCCTTCCCTCCTCTAGGACTGTATAATATCTCGTGAACACAGCAAAACTGCACCTGATCTATGTCATGATGATCCACACATGACAATGGATATCACTACACAACATAGTGGAAAGAGATGCTAACATGCACAGAAATAATGTTAAATTTAGCAATCATTTCTAACCTGCAACGAAGACAAGATTTTTTCAAGATGTATAAGCCTTGCTCATTTTATAAACTCCTATGGAATATTATTGCACAGAATGAGAACAAAATAACCCAAGAAAATAAAACAACTTGAAAAGCAAATTTCAAAAGAGTTTATTGTAGGACATGTAAAAATGGAATATTTAGGAGAAAATAAAAATCAAACAAACTGATACAACCTGATTCCTAATCTCAAGGGAAAAGTAATTTTAAAATTAAAAATAATAATGCTTTTAATTTCATTTACATAAGCATTATTTGACATATTTTGTAAAACCAAATGATGTTAGATCTATGGTATCTGTTAACTGTGTAACTGACGTGAGAGAGCTATTGATAAACTGCACAGGCTGGATATAGTGTAAGAAGGTGCAGACTCAGCCCAGGTATGATATTCTATAATCCCTCAAATGTTTCGATGAGCTTAGTTGCCACAGAAACTCCCTATAGAAGTACTAGGTTTATATATTCTACACTCTATCCAAATACATGTTACTTGCTACAAAGAAGATTAGATAATCATGAGGAAATCTTATTACAAAAATCTTTATTCATATTTAAAACACTGTATAGAGGAATGAAACTTCAATCTGAATTTTTTTTTTATTTTTTTAAAGGAATAAATAACCTTCTACTTCAAAAACTTAAAGATAGAAACCTCTTCCTTGCCATTCCAACAAGAGTTATAGGCAAAATAATAATTTCAATTAAGGAAAACTGAGGTCTTTTGTCTATTATTATTTTTGATATGAAGGTAAAAAAATACATCAATATGCAAATAGCATGGGAAATAAAAAAATGATGTAAATGTGAAAATAAGTGAAAAGATGCATACCTTTATAGTACAAGAGTCCTTTTCATAGGGACCACAAACTTGACACATCCCATCATATATGATCATTATTTTGGGATTACTGAATTTATAACCATCATTAGACACCTGTAAGATGTAGTTCTCTAATAAGATGATTTGTTAAGAATGTAGCTTCATATCATCAAGTTTTAATATGTAAGGGTTTTATTTATAATATGGGAATAATTTTCCTTTACCTTTAACTGCCACTTTGCCATTGGTTTCTCACCCATCAGGTCCATGGTGTCAGACTGCTGAATATCAGTGGGCAGATGACAATCAACAGTTCCACTATTTTGAAAAACAGTGTGGGTATAGACAGTTTCTCCAAGGACCCACTTATTGCCATTATACTGCAGGAATAGTAAGAAAGCAGTTAATCTCTGTTAAATTTTGAAAATATTTTGTTAGTAAATTACATCTAATCAAAATATAAATTTGAATATACATGTCTGGTATAACGGAATATATAAATTATATAAATAAGAAAAAAGTGATAATGTGGGCCTCCCCCATGGCGCAGGGGGTTGAACGCAGTGCTGTGAAGCTGTTTGCAGCCTTGGCAGTGCAAGTTCAATTCCCAGCCGTCCAGAGAGCTACCCACATGACGCAGCAGACCTCTTCTGACTCGCCCGCTGCTCCCTCAGCAGTGTTTTCGGTCTGTCTGCCTGTTCTGCTTCCCGCTCTGTCTCTGGTGAATTCTCTCACCCTCCTGCACCTCGGGCCTGTACCCCGGCTCTTGTATAAGTAAATAAATCTTTTAAAAAAAAATAGAAGACTGCCATTTGGACACAGAGAACAGAAAAGAAGACAGCTTAATTCCCCATGGTTAGAGATATGAAAAGACAGTGATGCGTGAACTCTTTCTACAAGGGATTTTATAGAGCATATGCAGGAGGTTCAAGTCTGCAAAAGCAGAAAAGAGCAGATCATGAAGGGTCTTCATTTCTAAGATAATATATTGGAATTAATCCCATAAATAAGTAATTTAAAATTGAATTCTCTAGAACCCTGGCTGTTTTTCAGAGAAGAAGTGAAGGAAATACTGAGTAGTTGGGTCTCCAGCTAAAAAAACTTGTTTAAAATTACAACTGCAAAAGTTGAAAAGAGCATCTGCAATATGCTATCCTTCAAGTAAAACAGAAGGCATGTTTCTGCTCCTTTGTGCAAAAGAAATAGAGTGAAGGTGAATAAGAAAATAGTGAGAATGGATACCTTAAAGGATGGATTAGGAATGGGATGGAAAGGGGGAAGGGAAAGAAGGTGGTAGAGATGAGAAGTGACATTTTTTTGTTCATACCTTTTATATGGCGCTTAATCTTACAAACAAATATTTTGCATACTTCCCAAATAACTAAAGTCAATAGGCATGCAGAGGAAATTCAAAATTGAATAAAAATATATTAAAATAAACCTAATTATAATAAAGTAAAAATAAAAATCAACAGGCAACTATAAGCCAGAGATATTCTACAGGGGGGAAGGAGAGAGTTGAACCAAAACAGAGGTGGGAAGAGCACAAGGGACTATGGTGATGGTGCACGGGTGAATTGGTGGTGGGAAGTCCACAGGGACTATACCCAAGATGATAAAGCATACATTGTATAAAAATGAAGAATGATGTAAAAAATTAAAATATTTATTTATCAGATGTTTAGAAGAGGTAGGTAGTATGAGAATATATATAACATAACAATATAATTGAAAGGAAATACTTTCTAAGAGAATATAAGCCTATAAAATTCTCTTTTGGAAAATCACTGAATTGTACATTGATGTCATATGCATTATTCTGCAAAGAATAATATGTCTGTTCTTTTGAATGAAATTTAAGTGGCTAACATTTTACATTTATTACGGTTTCTATTGTGTGCCATTCATTCACTGCGATTAAAATATTTAATGGCTTATTTAGAAAGGCTCTAGTTAAAAATTATGAAATAATCAAACTCTTCATTATGACTGATAAGAATACATACAAAAGTTATTACCCTCTTAAATCCTCAATCTCAAAAGCACATCAGACTATCAATTTAGAGAAAAAAGTAGAGCATACTGAAATATGGTTTGCTGCTTTAATTTTGTTTACCCATTTAAGAACTTTCTAAATCCAAAGAGCTCTCCTTAAAATAAAATTCCACTTGAACAAAAAAAAAATCATATCAGTACTCATCAAATATAAGCTATAATTTGATATACTGTGTTCAGACTGAATGATCATGTCTATCTTTTGTGATCTCCAGGGAGAAAAATAATATATTTTTGGATAAAAATTAAATATGAAAAAGGGAAACATAGGGGATAAGCACAACCAACCTTTACATTTTGGTTTGTAAAAGTAAATTGTTCATATTTCTGTATCTTATAATTCATGAAGAGTGTCTTAGAAACGATTATTTCTATTTTTTGTGTTTTTACAATTCAACAAATACAGAAGCTTACATTTTAAGCTTGATAACAAGCTTAAATTTCTTATATGACTAAAACAGTGAACCATACCTCAATAAAAACAATACTTTATAAACAAATAGTTAACAAATAGAAAAGCTTTAAGATTAAGCATCTTAATCATTTTACCATTCAGTTTTCTGTGAATTTGGCAAATTTGGGATTATGTCAGTAACTGATATGCCAAATTAAACCAAGGTAAATTAATCTGAATAACACAGATTAATATAGTTATAATATAGTTTTTCAACACTATAATTAACATACCTTCAGTTCAGTAACTTCACATTTATTTGAAGATGATTTTTTGAAGCCTTGACCAAAAATTCTCACCATCATACAATTATGTTTTCGAATATTACAAAATCCAGCATTCTCAACTTCTATAATTTCAGGAACCTTGTCTTTGGAGAAATTATAACAAGATAGGACATGTTTTCTTTAATTAAAAAAAAAACAACTATTTTTAAGATGAAAAATTAAAGCACATGTAAAGCAGTATTTCAAAATCTACCCTATTTACTCAGTACATTATTTAAACTATTAAATGATAAGAGTAATCTGGTATGAAAAGAAATGTTACCTATCATAAAACCAATGAAAATAGCATTATGGTTACTATCAGTGCCTAAATGTACTGGTTAAATTAATGTTTTATAGTTAACAATAAAGTGTTAACAAATTACCCCTAGAGTGGCCTATTTTATAGGTAGGTAATAGATTAAGGACTTTGTAACAAAATAATATAGTTAGCTATGCAATGTATTAAAATTTCAAACCTCTTAATTTAAGATGTAATTCCAAAATTTATGCATGCTGATATTTACTATTGTTGACATTTAATGTGTTATTGCTATCTTACGTGTTACTCTTATATTAGGTGTACTTCTCAATCATAAGAGAAAAAAATTTCTTCTAGTAGTCAGAGTTAATTGATCTTCATATGGTTCTACCTCTCATCCTGATCTTGGTAAGATCATACATTATCTCTATCAATAAGTTCCAATTGTCAAAATAGATCAATACAGTATGTAAAAGCAATTGAGTCTTTTGTCCAAATACAAAAATCTAAGTAAATATAACTTCACTAACAGTAGGACACGGAATAAGTTATGTGTACTCAGAACCCTAAAAATATTCATGAAAATTAAGAAAAAAAACATGTGTTGGCTTACTCATTCATTGATTCAGCAAACGTCATATATTCAACAAATGTTTACTGAGCAACTTCTAATTTTCTTGGTGTTTTTCTAAGAACTAGGGCAATAGTAATAAATTAGACAAAAGTCTCTGCTTTCATGTAACTCACATTCTAACATGGGAGGACAAAAAATAAAGTGTGTTTTTAAGACTAGGAAGAAAAAGTATATTAGCTATATTAAGAGAGACAAAGTTTATGAGACTGTAAGAAAAGTTCTATTTTGAATGACCATAGTAGTGGTAGGAGAAAATTCATGAGTTATTGGATTAGTGGGTAATAGACTCAAATGGACTTTAAAAAATTTCTTTCACATGTATTAAGACAAACAAATGAGTGAAACAAGAAGATGTAGTACATATATACAGTGGAATATTACTCAGCAATCAAAAACTCATGCCATATGCAGCAACATGAATGCAGCTGGAAAGAGTAGGCTAAATGAAATAAGCCAGAAGGAGGAACATAAATATTGGATGGTTTAACTTCTATGTGGAATGCAGAAAAAACAAACAAGAGATCAGACAAACTTTAATATCAAATTTTGAAAGTTGACTGTAAGATTTGAAGCATCCATGAGGGGAGGGAGAGGAGGATGTAAAGGGAATGAGGTGAGAAAAGGGGGTCAGGGAGAGCACAATGGACTATGGGGGAGGACTATGGGTGCTTTGGTGGTGAGTGAGCCATGGAGACCACACCTGAGGCAGAAATCTTATATTGTCAAAAAATTAATAAGGATGTGAAACAATGGTACTTCATTAAAAAAGATGCAAAATAGGGCCTCCCTGGTGGCATGGCAGGTTGAGCACAGGGCTGTAAGGCTGTCCTCAGCCTCTGTAGCACAGGTTTAATTCCTGGCTGGCCAGGAGCTGCCCACATGGTGCAGCAGACCTCTCTTGTCTCGCCCGCTGCTCCCCTCAGCAGTGTATTTCAGTCAGTCTGCCTGTTCTGTTCCCCACTCTGTCTCTGGTGAATTCTCTCACCATCCCATCCCTCTGGTCTGTACTCCAGTTCTTGTATTAAAAAAAAAAAGATGCGGGCCTCCCCGGTGGCGCAGCGGTTGAGCGCTGGGTTGCGAAGCTGCCCGCGGCCTCTGCGGCGCCGGTTCGATCCCCGGCTGCTCCCCAGCCACCGGAGGAGAATCCCACATGGTGCGCAGACCTCTCCTGCCACCCGCTGCTCCCTTCAGCAGTGTACTTCAGTCCTTCTGCCTGCTCTGCTCCCCACTCTGGCTCTGGTGAATTCTCTCACCCTCCCGCGCTTCTGACTGTACCCAGTGCATGTATAAACAAAACAAACAAACAAATATAATAAATAAATAAAAACATGCCTCTAAAAAAAAAAAAAAAAAAAAAAAAAGATGCAAAATAGTTTGTACCATGTAGATGGATTAGAGAAAACATTTAAGCAAATTAATGTAATTGACAAAATATTATACAGTGCTTCAAAATACTAAAACTAAGTTCTAGTCAAACATTCATTTTCTTCAAGCAGATAGATGAGTGAGTTGTGTGCAGAAGCTCTGAGGTCAAGAGAACTGGGTATTATTAAGGAACAGCACAGAGAGCAGCGTCGGTGACATGGAATGAGTGAGAGAGGTAAAGTAGCAGGGCATGAGATTCCTAAATGTACCAGAACACACTGTGTCTTATGGGATATTATAAGATACTCAGTTTTAACTCTGAAAAAGATGAGACACTTTTGGAATATTATTAATGTATTAATATAACCTTTTCCCCATTACATAATCAGACTAAACCTTATTTTATCAGGTAAGAAAAACAGATAAAAAAGAAGAAAGATAATTCATTATCAAATAACATGTACAACATCAACGTTGGAGGATATTTACTTACCATGCGAATTACTGCAGTCATAGGAACTAAAGCCTGGGGAACACAAGCAGCCCCATTCCATACACTGCCCATTGCCGCTACATAAATTGGGGCATTTTAGTTCCGAGAGAATGTCTTCAATCGACTCACCATATTCTTCTGTGTTGTATATTCCCTCTTCCAACATCCTCTTTTCACATTCATTTTCTAAAAGTGCCAAGCCTGCTTCTGCCCAGCTAAGATCATCTTTTAAGAGAACATCCTTAACACACATATCTATGACACTGTCTAGTCTCTTGCCAAGAAAAATGAGACAGTGCCTTCCGATGCTGGAGTTGGCTAGAGTCTGCTGACACAGGACCCAGGTGCTGTGCTCGCTGAGGCCAGAGGGTGTGGGCCACGTCAGGGCAAACTCTTGGTGGGCATCCTCAATATGATCTTCAGGGAAGAAATAAGTAAACTCTTCTAGGTCACTTTTGATGAGACTTGGGAAAGCAAACAGTGGAAGAAACTCATAAAAGTTTCGCCGTTTCCTTCTGTTTTGTCGATCCCACCTCTTCTTTTGACTGTGGCTGTCTGTCATATGTCTCCCATCATCCAAGGTTTTTGGTCCATCTTGATTTTCATTGTGAGGACGTTTTTGCAAATATAAGTCCAGTTTGGTTTGGTCTACATGCTTATTTTCCTGAGGAACAATTTTCAAGTTGTTTTCTTCTTGTGAGATATACTCGTTTATCCCTCTAAAAAGAGCATCTGAATATATATATTCAGAGGTGACATCTAGATCTGGTATTAAGGAAAAGAATTTGACATGTCTGAGGTCTTTGCAGGCTGAAATAACTGCTGATTGAGAAACACTGCTTAGATGATTTAGAGATGGATACAATGAAGTAGTGTCCAGTGAGCAGCTATAATAAGAGTGTTTTTCAGGTGATGGCAGAGAAACTGGCATTGTGTCAAACATACTTTTTCCTGGTAAAATCCTTCCAGAAGGAAAACAGAACAGTCACTAAGACAAGAACATTCATCCCACTAATGTGTGGCAAAACAAAGCAAAATAACCCCCATCACCAATTTTAAAATTTTAACTTTAACGTTAATATAAACATGAATGAAAAATTACTTTCATACCTCCATTCATTTATAAAGGCATTACAGTTATTAAAAGTTTTATCAATTTTGATCCCATTTTTATCATGGAAATCATTTTCTGGGTTTTCATCAAAAGTGCCACAAAGTCCCAAAGTGTTTCTGTAATCCAAGGTAGGAGCTCTGATTGTTAAACTCATACCCCATTCACTCATATCGGCACGCACAAATGCTCCAGAAGAAAACCAGATCTGAAATAGAGAAACAAAGATGTTGAAACATTATTCAATACACATTAGGGGGAAACGTTAATATTTAAGATATTAACAAACCTATTTATTCCCTTAATATGAAAAAGAATTAATTACTAGGTTTCTTTAGACTACAAATTTCCTTTTTTTAAATTTAATTTCTTTTTTTTTTAAGATTTATTTATTTATACAAGCACTGGGTACAGTCAGAAGAGCGGGAGGATGAGAGAATTCACCAGAGCCAGAGCAGGGAATAGAACAGGCAGACTGACAAAATACACTGCTGAGGGGAGCAGCGGGCACAGCAGGAGAGATCTGTCATGCCATGTGGGACCCTCGCTGGGGGCCAGGGATCAAACCAGCGCTGCAAAGGCTGTGGGCAGCTTCGCAGCCCAGCGCTCAACCGCTGAGCCACCAGGGGAGGCCCTACAAATTTCCTCGTAATGATGGATGTCAAAATGGGTTTTTTCATTTTGCTAACTCAAAATTTGATCTCTATATTGATCTTCTTATTGAGATATTTTGTTCAAATTTCTTTCCTAAAATAATTTAAAAGGCAGATACTTTGTATGATTCAAACAGCTATATATATATATATATATATATATATATATATATATATATATATATATATCTTGTGGTTAATCAAGTAATACCTCTGATAATAATTATTTAATAATTACTTAAGAACTGGACTGTGGATTAATTAATGTACATAGAAAAATGAAATTCCAGAGCAGTACATGTTCCTGCAGCTAATCAGCATTCTCTTGCTGCCAGTAGGCAAACAGAATCAGAAGCCAAATTATAACCGAAATGTTGCTTTGGGAACTGGAATGAGAACAAAGAGAGTTTGTTGAATTATCACTATAGCTTGTGCCATCTAATTATGATCCCCCTTACTTCATTATAGGGGAGCATCTCCTCGTCCAGACCAGAACGTGGATGTGTTGGTTGAGGAACACTTTTCTAAAAATCACTGAGGACATACCATCATTGTTCCTCTGACTCCCCAACCTCCTTTTAATTTTTCAAAATTATCAATAGCCCTTTATATAATGGTATGAGTCCATTACAAAAATAATTGCTTTAAAAACAAACAAACCTTATATTTCTTTTCAATCTGAGGTGGAAAACATTAAGATATTAGTATGAATTATTCAAAAACTTCTCCTATGTTTCATTAATGTATTTCCCTGTCAATAAATATATATCTACTACCAGATTTTTGAGACAACAAAGTGTTGTAATGTATGACATTTGGTTAAACCCTTTTATTGGTCACTGATTAATGACAATTTTTCCCTCTTAGAAGGATAGATGAAATGGCATCATTGGGGCTACACATATCCATAATTATATTGTCATGACAAATTTTCAAAAGGAAAGTTCTAGACAAAATGACATGAATAGGGCCTCCCTGGTGGCACAGCAGGTTGAGCACGGCGCTGTGAGGCTGTCCGCAGCCCGTCAGTGCAGCTTTGATTCCTGGCCAGCCAGGGAGATACCCACATGGCCCAGCAGACCTCTCCTGTCTGCCCTTCAGCAGACTGTTCTACTCAGCAGTGTTTTCGGTCCATCTGCCTGTTCTGCTCCCCACTCTGTCTGTGGTGAATTCTCTCACCTTCCCATGCCTCTGACCTATACCCCAGTTCTTGTATAAATAAATCTTTATAGGCCCTCCCTGGTGGCGCAGGTGGTTGAGCGCCGTACTATGAAGCTGTCTGCAGCCTCTGCAGGGCTTGTTAGATCCGGGCAGTCCGGCGAGAATCCCACATGGCGAAGTACACCTCTCCTGTCTCGCCCGCTGCTCCCCTCAGCAGTGTATTTCATCAGTCTGCCTGTTCTGCTCCCCACTCAGTCTTTGGTGAATCCTCTCAACCTCCCATGCATCTGGCCTATACCCCGGTTCTTGTATAAAAAAATAAATCTTAAAAAAAAAAAAAGAAAGAAAGAGAAAGAGGCTACATTTAAAAATATGTAAATAAATCCTTATTAAAAAAAAAAAAAAAAAAAAAAAAACAGGGCTTCCCCTGGTGGCACAGGCGACTGAGTGCCGCACCGTGAAGCTGCCCGCAGCCTCTGCAGCACCGGTTTGATCCCAGCTGGCCAGCGAGGGTCCCACATGGCGCGGCAGACCTCTCCTGTCTCACCAGCTCCTCTCCTTAGGAGTATATTTCAGTCAATCTGCCTGTTCTGTTCTCCACTCTGTCTCAGGTGAATCCTCTCATCCTCCTGTGCATCTGGCTTATACCCCGGTTCTTGTGTAAATAAATAAATAAATCTTAAAAAAAAAAAAAAAGAGGACCTCCCTGGTGGCGCAACGGTGTTAAGCACCACACTGTGAAGCAATCCCCAGCCTCTGCAGCACGAGTTCGATCCCTGGCCGGCCAGGAAGCAACCCACATGGTGCAGCTGACCTCTCCTTACTCACTCACTGCTCCCCTCAGCAGTGTACTTTGGTCAATCTGCCTGTTCTGTTCCCCACTCTTTCTCTGGTGAATCTTCTCACCTCCCCAATCTCTGGCCTATACCCCAGCTCGTGTATGCATAAATAAATAAATCTTTAAAAAAAAGATAGCCCCTTATTTCATAGACATGAAAAAAGTTCAGACTTTAATCAAAAATCTTTTATGAAAAGGAAATATATTTTAATTGTAAGGAAATATACATACTGTGATTTTTCTTCCTAGGTAAGATTCACTTATCTTGATATTGCTGGTTACATCTTGTCTCTTTACAAATAAATATGGCTGTGATTCATGTAGCTGACCACCGCACATATCAAAAGTAACTACATCACCTTCTTCTTTGGCAACAAACCCGCAGTTACAGGACACAGGATGGTGTAGACTTCCACAGTCCCATTGACGTACATGGACTTCAAAATCACGTGATGTGCTCTTATAAAGCACAAATGTTCCAGTCTTGAAATTATCATATACCCTATCATTAACAAAAGTCAGTTGTATTAAGAGTTGATATAAAATATCACAATAGTATAAAACAAAAGCGATATTAAATTTGTGCATAAGCATCTATTATACTTTGATACAAGAATGAAAACCTAAATTTTTAATAGTTTTATATATTGTGAATCTTTATTTAATACTGAATAAAACAAAGCAATAAACACCTAAATCTCCCACATGACTCTTCTGTTTCAACATTTCAGTCAATCCCTACTTCTAGCCTTCAGTTTCCTCTCCTGCTTTAATTTCCTTTAGCATCTTTCTTCCTCAGACACACTATATATTTTATTTATTGTATATATAGCTCTTCAATTATTAAAAGGTAAGCTCCATGGGGATAGGATGGGGTGTTTGTCTGCCTTGTTCACTGCCATCCCTCTTTCTAGAGGACTTTCCCACTAAAACTTCTGAAATTTTCACTATAACCATAAAGGATTCTTGTTTGTAGAATTAGTTCCTACAACTATTTAATATTTGTCTAAACCTTTGGAGTATCATTTGCTAGTGGAGAGGTTCTACATCATTCTCTCATTTTGAATAATTGCATTGACAATAATCACAATTTTTTTAAGTATAAACTACTTTCCATCATAAAGAAAATTTTAACTCAACAAATGAAGTGTTCTTCTCATTTTTTAATGACATTTAAGGATAATGAATTCTACCCAGAACAATATAACTAAGTTAATTTCTTCTCTGCAGATAATAATAGCAAGATAGTTTGGATTACTTTTTGCTCATTTTGCCTTTTTTACTTCAAATTCCAGAGGTAAATATCCAGGTATTCAAGATGGCTACAATTGTAAATCCCTTCAGTATCTTTGCCATGAATTAGAAGTGATTTGTTCTTTTATTAATTCTAATGTGTAAGTTTACTCATGTTGACTGAACTTTAAAGAGCATTTCAGTATCATGTAGAAAAGCAATATGCTTATTACCTCTTTATAGCAAATAATTTAATCATTATTAATAACAAGCAAATGGTCAAATTAAAATGAGTTTGGATTTGTAGCAATCTATTTTTTACAAATTGAGCCTCAGAACTAGTCTGTATTTTTTCTTAGAATTAAATTGTTAAAACAAACATTGCACACAAGTAAAACACTATTTTAAACAAGTCATTGACATTCACACATGCCTTCCTGTCTTACCTTTAGGTGAACAGAACTAAGAAATAATAAAATAGTATGATGTTTACAATAAAACAACAATAAAATCCAAAAAAAAAAAAAAAAAACTACTAAACGAAAAAAATTTCAGGAAGTTACCTGCCATCAAATGTAATTATATGTGGGTCAGTAAATGAGTAGCAGTAAGCAGTGGGCACATCCTTCACTCTGATCTTGAAAGAAAAGATATTTTCAGTAAATAGTATCATTAATTTTTATTTAATGATACATAATCATTTGCTTAGCAATCTCAACGAATTTACAATTAGTGATTATTTCGATCTTAGTCATTAAAATTGAATCAATTAAAGTCCAATATAACTTATTAAAATAACTTTAACATTGCCAGGCATAGTGAGAAACATCTTTTTTAGTGAATCAGTTTTAAATATATTTTTGGTATTTGTCAACCTGGATGCTGTCTGGAATGTAGCTGTTCCACAGGAAATCCTCATTAACTATAGGTTCCACTACAATGCTTGTAACTCTGTCTCCATCTTGAGAAAAGTCTGCTACAGCTGTGTAGTGTACAAAAGCAAGGCTACAGGTTCCATTAGCACAGGATGATGTTGGGCGAAGATCCACATGACATGAGGACAGTGCCAAATTTAAGCCCAGTTGTTGTTTACCTATTTTAATGAAACACATTGAAAATTTTACCAAGAATTTTAGTATGGAATACTAAATCAAGAGATTATTGTTATTTTCTTTAAATATGACTGTAATTTTTCTCTGAATAAAACCAAAGCTCTTCGTCTATACCTGATCTTTACAAATAATCAATGCGCTTCAATACATGTACACAATACATGTGTACATATATACTACATTTTCAATAAGGTTATAAATCCATATATAGCTAGGTAAAATTTCAAAGCAATATATACAATTTCTCTTTTTCCCTATAAAAGAAACATAATTTGAGATATTTAAAAGAAACATAATTTCCCTAGCACTAAGAAACATAATTTGCTTTCTTTTCTGCTTCTTTTCACCTTTCAAACATCCCAATATGTTCAGAATCTCAGGATTTTCCTTTGCGTATGGAACAAGTAACAAGGAAAAATACATTTGGAGAGAAAATGCCATGACAAGAGAAGGAGTAATTCCAGAAATTTATATGACTAAACAAAAAGAATAGATCCCTCCAAAAACTGGCAATAGAGGAATTTTGCTCTGACATCCATTCCAGCATCTAAGAAACAAGGAGGAAAGAATGAAGTCATTAAAAAATTGCTATTGGGCCTCCCTCGTGGTGTAGGCGGTTGAGCGCTGCTTTGTGAAGCTGTCCGCAGCCTCTGCAGCGCCAGTTCGATCCCAGCCGGCAGACGAGAATCCCACCTGGCACATCAGATCTCTCCTGTCTCGTCCTCTGCTCCCCTCAGCAGTGTATTTCTTCAGTCTGCCTGTTCTGTTCCCCACTCTGTCTCTGGTGAATCCTCTCACCCTCCCACGCATCTGGCCTGTACCCCGGTTCTTGTATAAATATATAAATTTTTAAAAATGCGATCATCTTTTCTTTCACATGTCATTGTCAGGTATAAAATTATAGTAGTCATTTATAAGTACAATGCAATACTCAAAATTCCTGAAAAAATGTTTTTTCTAAAAAAACCTTTCTAAAAGGTTTTTTTCTAAAAACACCTTACCCATACACATACAAAATAAAAATTTCCAAACTTTAACCATCTACGTAAGGTGAATATGGAACATATCAGACTTAGATACAGCCCCTCAGTCACTTCCCCTGGTGTATGGTATGAGGACCCAGTATTGCTCTCTAAGTTGGTGAAAAGCACCACTTAGTCTTTGCAGAAACATACTAGGAGCAAGACACCACCTTATTCTCTATGAAAGTAGAAATGTGATGGAAGTATACTTAAAGATGATGAGGAATCTCTGGAATGAAGTCCAAGAAATCTCCAGGAAAACAAAAAGGGAAATCATTTTAACTGACAATGAATCAAAATATGAAAACCTCTCAAATGTAACAATACATTTAGTTGTTTTTTATATTATCATAGCAATGCTTGACTTATTGATAGAATTGAGAATATTCAAATAAAACATTGATTTGCCATTGAACATTATCTTTGCCACACACAATTTTGGAAAATATCAAAAACATCATCCCTTCCTTTTGTCCCCCATAAACTATAGTGAAATTTGCTTTTCAGAAGTGGCTTGAAATAGAATTCTATCCAACATTCTAGAAGAAAAAGTTTAATTTCATCTTTCTGGGCTGCATTTCAAAAGTGTTTTTTATGATGCTCCTGAAATCTAAGAGCTTAGTATCGTCTAAGCTATTTTATGTCAAGTATTTTGGGATAGGTTCTCTTTTTTTTTTTTCTTGAAAGATTTATTTATTTATGCATACAAGAGCTGGGACACAGGCCAGAGGTGCGGGGGGGTGAGAGGATCCACCAGAGACAGAGTGAGGAACAGAACAGGCAGACTGACTGAAATACACTGCTGAGGGGAGCAGTGGGCGAGACAGGAGAGGTCTGCCTCACCATGTGAGTAGATCCCTGTCCGGCCCAGGGATCGAACTTGTGCTGCAGTGGCTGTGGATTGCTTCATAGTGCTGTGCTCAACCCCTTGCACCACCAGGGAGGTCTGGGATAGGTTCTTTTCAGCCCTCTTTATATCTCCATATCCATCTTTTTTCCTGGGTATGTCATTCCCAAGAAACCCTCTCTCCTTGCATTTTCTCATTTGTTTCTGTGATTTATTTAGGTAATGTAATGTTTACATTACATTACATAATGTGTTTACATAATGTGTTTACATTACATAATACATAATGTGTTTACATTACATTTTTTTTGGTCCTATCATGAAAAGTATGGGAACAAAACTACAATCTCTCTTAATGTTATAATTTATGTAGCTCTTACTTTTGGCTCCTACATCAGAGGTTTTTGGGAGTGGAAATGAACCAAATCAACCCAATGGCTGCTATAACTGGTTTGTCCTCTCATATTTTATCTTGTTCTGAAGGAGAATTTCTGCTCTCTCTATGGTGGAGAGTGACATGTATGCTACATGCAATAGTGTAATGTGAAATGCATAAAATTAATAATTTAAATAGAAGAATTTTAAAACAAGATATTGCTCATAAGTTTCTATTAGGGAGAGAACTGCAAAGAATGCATTATTAGATCCATGTTGCATATATCTGAACATTTAGCATACCTTAAAATGTCTTATGAGGCATAATCTAGAAAATCTTAAGCAGTTTGTCCCTCAGTCTCTAAAAACAAGGCAAAGAGGACAGTAGGTAGGAAGATGAAGAAAAGAGGAGGGAAATAAAAGAGGAAGAAGAGGAGAAAAATGATGATGATGAGGAGACTGTGCATCATTGTTTTTTAACTTATGCCTTGATTCCAGGAGGGTAAATGTGTATTACAATATCAAATGCCTTGGCAATTTTAAATTTTTCTCAGCATTATTAGTATGCTTGAGCTATAATTTGATGTGAACAAGCAACATAATCATGACCTCTTGACCTCCCCTAGAAGAAAAAAGACCATTAGTTAGTATTTGAAATCTAATAATAAAATCAATACCTTGATCAACAGTTTTCAGTTTTAATGAGATTTTGCATTCTTGATCAAGTGTACTGAATTCAGAACAATCAATAGGAATTGTGCTCTCTATTTTCAACTGGTATTCTCTCCCATCTTCTGATATAGTGCTCAATTCAGGTTGCAACTGATAAAAAAATATGCAAAGCAGTCATGGAAAAATAGAGTTTACTTCTGAGATATAATAATTTTGAAAGGGTATTTTACTCAACAGCTCATATTTTGCTAAATGACCTGTGTTATTAACAAGCACTGGAACTTTTGTTTTTTGGTTTTTATTTCTTAAGTATCACCACATCCCACTCACCACCAGAGCACCCATACACCTTTGTCATATGAAGATCTATTTGCTCAAAGTCCAACTGGAATACCAAATTAAAATTGTTTAATTTCTCACATGCAAAAATTATATTTGTTATTAATCAGTTTATTTATTTTTAATTGAGGTTACATTGGGGTATCCCCTTCAGGTAGTGCCAACACAGTACATCCACAACCAACTCACCCATACTCCACCACCATAGACTATTATGTGTCTGCTTCCCTCCCCCATTCTCTCTCTCCCTCCTGTCTAAAGTTCTGTAGTCAAAAGGGCTAATTTTTTAGCTTGTCTTTATCTGACTGTTAATTTAGTTACTTTATATTCCACATATTAATGACACCATCCAGTACTCCTTCTGGCTTATTTCACTTTGCATTATTCATTCAAGCACCATCCATGTTGCTACAAATGGCATAAATTTATCTTTTTTGATTGTTGAATAATATTCCATCCTGTATATGTACAACTTCTTGATCCACGCATCTGTTCTGGGGCATCTAGGTTTTTTCCATAGTTTAGCTATAGAAAAGAGTGCAGCACTGGAACATTTGAGTCAAACAGTATCAAACTCTTGAAAACATCAGCAAAGTGCAGAAGATTATATGGAGCAGTTGTACTGCTCTGAGTTCAGGTACAATTTGTTTCTCTAGCACATGTTAGGCAGTCTATTTAAAGCCTACCTTAGTAATTCTGGTTCTGTATTGGGTACAGAGACTGGAGGAAACAGAAAAATTGCTAGATTTTTCCATTTGTTTGCTAACGTTTTCTGAAACACTAATGCTTAGTGTTAGGGATTAATATCACCAATGTCAATTAGAAATCTCAGTATTTTTCAATGCATAAATCAAAATATTACTGTCACTTGAAAGACCTTCAGCTTATTTCTCAGTCACTGTTTCCCACAGTTGGATTTTCTGAGTACTCCCTGGGACTATTACTATCCCAGTTTGCAGTCCAATTATTTTTTGAGGTATGAAGTTTATACACAGTTCTTTGCTAAATCTCAAAACAGATGTTTCGAATAGTCTCCCTGGTTAGCTTACTCAGAACATAACATGGGCTGACCACTGGCCCAGATGTTGTCTGCTGATTCCTTACTAATACAGAGTCAAAGATTTTGTGTTCCCAAAATCTGAGCTCTGTTTCATGTTCTACTGTTCTTATGCTTATGCTATCCTGTCAACATATTCACTCTTCTCATCCAGAAACAAGTTTTGTAGTGTTCTTGAGTTCTATTATCACAATCTATCAATTCCTCCATCTCATTCTTTAACTAGAAATGAGTCTAGATCAAATTCTAGTCCCATGGCTGAAACCTCAGAGGATACACAGTGCTTGCCTGCCTAGACCTCTGGATACTGTCCGCATGCCTTTCCCCACTTCTGGATTCCCTGTCACCTCTACTCATATTCTAAATATGAGCTAGATAGCTCATCAGTTCTTGGACTTCAAGGCCACCAGCAGTTACCATAGGTATTGTCTTGCTTAGTTAGCTTAATCTTTGCAGTCCATAAAGTCCAGGTGTTAATCAAGAGGTTCTATTACTTTAGTGGGCACTTGAGTTAGACAGCTTCCAAAATGTCTAACCAAATATTGACATATGTTTATTTATACAATGGAATGAATTATGGGAATATAACTTGTGCTTTGTAAGTATATGAGCTATTTCTGAAAATAAAATCCAAATATTTTCCAACCTTAACTTAGTTCATTAAAAAGGGTCTTCAAACTTTGTTGCGCATTACTTATTAGGGTTACTTTTCAAAAACACAGACTTGGGTTTTAGCATTTAGATGATGCCCTGGAACCAACACCCACATATCAGATTTTGAAAAACACAGTTCCAGATTAATAATCTTTTGACCAAGGCCCACCGTTACATACCTTAATGCCTGCAAAAAATTCTTGACTTTCAATAGCTATACTGTGTATGTATGTTTTCTCTAAGAAAAACATGGAAGCACTACAGAATATCTGTGAACACAATTAATAAATTATCATTTAACAAAGCAGTTACACAGGAAATATATATATTTAAGTACTTAATTTTAATTTTTGATACACAGTACATAAGAAATAACAAAAACTAATTTAAAAAAGTTGCTAGAAATATGAGAAAAAATTCATCATTATATACTATTTATTCAAATCTCACCATAAAGTATTATAGACTTTAAATTTCTGATGTATTTAAGATATAAGACAATAAGTAATATCCCTGAAAAAAAAAAAACATTGCTCCTAGAATAAAAGTATATCATTTTTAGATCAGAAAGAGACAAAAAGTGATACAGATTAGTGATAATAATCAATACACTGCTAAAAGCAAAACCCCATATTTAAGTCACTAAGATTACTGACATCTGATTATCACTGGGGTTGGCACAATTGCCAAGGAAGAAATAAAGAGAAAATGTCAGTGCTTTATATTATGGTGACAGAAACTATTTATAGGATATGATAAATCTATTTTTGAAAATAAGTACTTTTATAAAAAGAAAAAAAAATACGTCTTTTGAACATACCCTATCTCCAAGTCTGAGATTTATACCATCCAGTTCTAAAAGAGAGAATGTCTGAACTGTGGTCTCTTGCTTCACCTCCTGTTTGATTTCTTGAGAAGAAAGTCTATACCAGTTTATGAGAAATCCCACTGAATTGTTTGTAGGCGAAACATCAAAAGCACACCTACAGAAAACCCTGGATTCAATCAACTCCACCACAATCTCTGGCCTTCTTGGAGGTGGTGGTGGTAATGAGGCAGACGGCTGACCTGGTGGGACAAAAATGTATAATTTATATTTGGGCATCTGAAAAAATGGAGACTGGCTTAAAAGGAAAGCTCATAAAGACTGCAATGCAGGGATTTATATTAAGGAAAAATAAAATACACTTAGAAAAATAATTATCCTGTAATGTTCTTATTTTGATTATAATCCTACAAATATTGATAGCAAAGAAATTTATCACCTCAAACTTATATTAATGCACATTGAATATATCTACCCTTGAAAAGTCTGGCTCTTGAAAGTAAAAGTAAGTTACTTTCATTTAAGTAAAGTTACCGTTTCAAAAAGATGTAACAAATAAGGTTAAGGTTTTGTAAATTATAAAATCTATTTATAAAAAAATAACGACTACAATGTAAAATCACATGATATCATTTTACTCTTATAATTTTACTCTTAACCCACCATTACTCCAGTTTAAAAGAGTTGTTCATCACAGGAGTGTCAACACTGTCTTAGGCAAGTGTTATTGTTAACAACAGTCTTATTCTCTTCATTTTTCTGAGGTTGAAAATGTGTGAAAATTTCTTTAAGATCTCAAAAAGGTTTTATCATTTTTCACTTGGGGCATTTGCAAAATTTAATATGGATATCTAAAATGTTTCTTAATGAGTTTTTGATTTCTTTTTTTCTGTTTTTGTTTTTTCTAAAGATGTATTTATTTATGCATAAAAGAGCTGGGTACAGGCCAGCGGTGTGGGGGGTGAGAGACTTCACCGGAGAGTGGGGAATAGACGAGGCAGACTGACTGAAATACAATGCTGAAGGGAGCAGCAAGTGAGACAGGAGAGGTCTGCTGCACCATGTGGATCACCTCCCTGGCTGGGGATCGAACTAGTGCTGCAGTGGCTGCGGAGAGCTTCATAGGTTGTGTCTTAACCCCCTGCGCCACCAGGGAGGCCCTCTTTTTTTCTGTTTTTAAAAGAGAAAAAAATCTGAGTAATTTCTAAAATTTAAAATTGTTAATTTTAAATGTACAAATATATTTTCTAGACCATACATGGTAATGTTATGATAAAATTGTGCCGTTTTCATACTGTTGTGCAACATGGGGAAAATTCTAAGACCTTAACCTAATGTATAGCGAAAAAATTAAATACTTTTGGATATCTTAAAGTTTTATTTTGTTAAATATCAGAATACAAAATCCTAATAGTAACTGAATTGCTCTCAGTTTAGTCTAAATAATAAACATTTTGCTAAACATTTTAAACATTAGGCCAAATCATCGTATTCAGATTTGTAGGAAACATATTTAGAGTATGTTTAAGCATGTAATGATTTTTTTCAATTATATATATCTGAGTAAAAATTTCCTCTTAAGTAAACTAGGGGGAAACATTGACTTTATTTCCAAAAAAGTGAAAAACTATCTATGGAAATTATTCTTTGAATTAAGGGGTGACACATAAATGAAACGAAAATAATTCATGAAAATTACTATTTTGACTTTATGTTTTAAATAGCATCAACTATCTGTGTGAGCTGATTATTGCTCAGACAATGTATATAAAAAAAATCTGTTAAAATTTTTTGACGGCCATAAATGACAATTATGATCGCTTTGTCAATTCTACTAGCATACACTAGATATGTTAACACATTATTTTATCATGAAGCCTTTTATCTGTTAACTACTTCAACTCAAAATTTTCAATTAGTGCTACTTCCCCAAATTGTGTAAGATTTTGCATAGCAATTTTTCCAACTAATTGCATAAATGTTCTGAACAACATAACAAGCAACATAAAATTATTGCTTATTCAAGGGAGGAAAGTGGTTTTACCCTATGTATCAGATAAAGAAAATTCAATCCTATTATGCAGAACAGCCAAGCAATTACACATATGGTTTATGTTACTATTATTAGTATATTATTCTATTCTCCTGAGAACTAGAGTCACAGGGTCTAATTATACTAAGATTTTCAGATAAGAAAATTGCTTATTTAAGGACATGAGCGAAGGGGGTTAGACAATATGTTTGCAACTGGAATAGTATATAGAAAAGCCACTCAGAGCAATTTATTTTTAGGATCATTTTAATACTTTTAAAGACAAAATATATTGCTTTTCAAACCTCTTATCTGAATATTATATGATCTATCCTGACTTGTTTTATATCTTTATGGCTAATTTCACAATTAAAAAGCCTTTATTAATTCTATTATTTGTTTGTATGTCAACAATCTCTCTTCATTGAGAATTTCCACATTTGGCTGATAGGACCCACAAAAAAAGGCTAATGTTTCAATAAATAATTTTAATTTCTTCCCATCCTTTAGATAGATATCATTAATCTTATTAGATAATCTTTTTAGAGTGATTTTTAATGGAATATTATAGAAGGGGATTTCTGGTGGCACAAGGGGTTTAGCACTATGAAGCAATCCGCAGCCTCTGCAGCACGAGTTCAATTCCTGGCCTGCCAGGGAGAAACCCACATGGCGCAGCAGACCTCTTCTGTCTCGCCCACTGCTCCCCTCAGCAGTGCACTTAGGTCAATCTGCCTGTTCTGTTCCCCGCTTAGTCTCTGGTGAATCCTCTCACCCCCAGCATCTCTGGCCTATACCCCCTATGGCCTATACCCCCTAAAGCCTATACCCCCTAAGAGCCTATGGCTCTTGCACGCATAAATAAATAAATCTTTAAAAAAAAAAAGAGTGAGGGCCTCCCCGGTGGCGCAGTGGTTGAGAGCTGAGTTGCGAAGCTGCCCCAGCCTCTGCAGTGCCTGTTCGATCCCCGGCTGCTCCCCGGCCATCAGAGGAGGGTCCCACATGGCGCGCAGACCTCTCCTGCCGCCCGCTGCTCCCCTCAGCAGTGTACTTCGGTCCTTCTGCCTGCTCTGCTACCCGCCCTGGCTCTGGTGAATTCTCTCACCCTCTCGCGCTTCTGACTGTACCCAGTGCTTGTATAAATAAATAAATAAATAAATCTTTAAAAAAGAAAAAAGAGTGAACATTACAAATTGAACAAAAGAGAAAAATTGTGATCCCCATTAATACTTTTGGTCTCAGCAGCACTCCCTTCTGCCCACCTGTGACTATGCAGGTGCTTCTTTCACCAACTCTCTCCTCTGTAGGGCAGTGGCTTCCTGCCTGCATGTGACCTATATCATGCCAGGACTTCTCTTCACTGACCTCCCTCAGCCCAGGCTGCTATCCTCAAGGTCGCCGCCTGCAACCGTGCAGGCCTCTCTCTGCAAACCTGTCCCTTTGGGGCAGCTCTTCCTGCCCGCTTGTCTCTATGCAAGTGTACTTTACTTTTCTGTCCCTCTCCTAATAAACCTGTTCTTTAAATACAAAAAATAAAATAATAAATAAATAAATAAATAAATAAATATTTTTGGTCTCTATCTTTCAAGACTCAATTTGGTATAAATACAATCATTTGTAGAAGACAAAAATGAGAATGCATTAAATAATCTGATTTCTTAGCTACAATACACCATAAATATCTACTAATATCAAAGAATGTGTATGCCTGTATCCTGTATTCTAATATCGTTTAGAGTATTTTATTATTATTTTATTTTACTATCTCAAAAATATTGAGTCAATTAGCAGTTATTAGATATTTTCCATTTATTTTTCAAATTATTAGAAAAATGCTGATAAATATTATACGTGCACACTTCTTAATTTTTCTAAGCTATATTTTTTAAGCTTTACTTTTCTAAGCTATATTTATTAATTGCTAGAACAAATATATGTGGCTTTTTATCATAGCTGGCATAACTTGTCAAGTGTTCTCATTAAAGGATGCTACCAATATATACAACTGTCTGCAAGGACTGAATATACCCATTCTCCATACCTTTGCCTGATCCGGGACTACTACTTAAGGGCAAAATTAAGTGATTTTTATTTTTGTTATCTACTAGGTTGAGATGCTATCAAGTATTAGCATTATTTTGACATATAAAGTAAATCGCAGCACATAAAATCTTATTGAAATCATTACTTTGTAAAAATATTAAAACAAAATGCACTACTTACGAACACAGTCACCTCCAATTTCAATTTCATCAGGGTCACATGGTTGTAATTTTGCATCAGAAATAACTGCAAAGGTTAAAGTTTGTATATCTGTTCAATTCAGCATGATGTGTATGTTTATATACCTACATAAAATCTAAGATGAAATTGTTTGAAGTATGTTTTGGTACAGGCTAAGATTTTTTCTTATTTTTAATAATAATTTATTTTCCCTTTCAGAGTAAAAATAAGTGGCGATGGGACATTTCTAACAATTATAGTTTTCCACATTTTTGTCCACATTATTAAGTAATGAAACATTACAATTTCCAGAAATTTATACAACAGTTGGTTTGATATACATTCATTGGGAATTGCATCCCCCATAATCATGCACAGGATTACAGAAATGAGTTTTACAGTTGTTAGAGTAATATTTATAATAAACCCAATTTCAAATTCAGTTCAGGGGCCTCCCTGGTGGCCTAGGAATTGTCTCAGCTCTACCACTGAGAAGGCCTGAGTTCAATACCTGGCCAGGGAGCTAACCCACAAGAATCAGCAGATCTCTCCTGTCTGGCCCATTGCTCCCCTCAGCACTGTATTTCAGTAGATCCGCCTGTTCTGCTCCCCTCTCTGTCTCTAGTGAATCCTCTCACCCCCCTACCTCTGGCCTGTACCCCAGTTCTTCTACACAGAAATAAATTAAACCTTTAAAAAAAAAACTCAGTTCAGTGGAACATTGGTGACTACCTAAACAAAGACAAAATCAATAGATTTCTTTTTGGAGCTGAATCAAGTTAATACCCTAGCTCTACAGGAATGTCAACAAACTCCAGAGTTTGTGTCTCTCAGACTAAAATTCAGACTTTTCTCAAATTCTTCCAATTAGCCCCAGTTCTAATCTCCTGAGTCACAGATAATAAACACATCTATCCCCCATTTCAGACTCTGTTATTAGGTACATAAATATTTGGAATTGTTATAATCTATTGTTGAATTGACCTTTTATCATTAAGAAATTATCCCTGTTTTTCCACATAATATTCTTTTCTCTATAATCTACTTCATCTAATAAGATAACCACTCTAACTTTATGGTGATTCATGACCCAGATATATTTTTTTCTATCCTTACACTTAAAAGCATATGAGGAGAGAGAGAAATTATTTTTTAGAGCAGTCTATAGTTGGATCTTGCTTTTTGTACTCAATTGAATCATCGAATCATTTCTGATTTTCACTTAGGGTACTAGACCATATATAATTTGATTATTGATACTGTAAAGTTTAAATCTACCAATGTTGCTGCCTTCTATTTCTTTTATTGGCACTTTTCAACTGCTTTACATCACTGAATATATTTAACAATTCCACTTTATGTTGGTCTATTTGTTTTTTTTGTTGTTAACGGGGGTGCTACAGATATATTTTATGATTCCATTTTACCATGTTATTTTTTTTTTTTTTTGTTAATGGGTACTACACAGTTTATAGCATACATTCTTAATTTCTTACAGCTTACTTTCATGTAAATCACACCTTTTACACATTGGACAGAGACTTAACTAGTTTGTAAAAATGTGAAAAATTTGAAAATATTTTCCCCCGGGGATTCTTTTAAATAAATAATACATATAAATCTTTTCATTTGAATAATTTTGATTACAAGTATAATCTTGAATATTCTTTCTTGACTGAAAGGCTAAATATAAAACACTTATTTTCTTTGGAACTTTTATTTGCCACCCTTCATCCCCTAATCGAAAGGGTGAAACATGAAAAACCAAAGAATTTAACACAATCATTATGATCAGTGGAGGAATGATAACAAATCTGTTTTGATACTTACACATAGAAAGTATTGGGCCTCCCTGGTGGCACAAGGGGCTAAGATGCTTCCTATGAGGCTGTCGGCAGCCTCTGCAGCATGAGTTCGATACCCAGACTGCCAGGGAGCAAACCACATGGCGCAGCAGACCTCTCCTGATTCGCTGGCTGCTCCCCTCAGCAGTATATTTTACTCAGTCTGCCTGTTCTGTTCCCCACTCTGTGTCTGGTAATTTCTCTCACCCCCCGCACCTCTGGCTTGTACCCTCTTCTTATACGCATAAATAAATAAATCTTAAAAAAAAAAAAAAGGAAAGCATTTTTAAGAATTTTAAGATCGGGCTTCCCTGGTGGTGCAGCAGGTTGAGCACAGTGCTGTGAAGCTGTCTGCAGCCTCTGCAGCGCCGGTTCGATTCCCAGCTGGCAGGGAGATGCCCACATAGTCCGGCAGACCTCTCCTGTCTCACCCACTGCTCCTTTCAGCAATGTTTTCATCAGTCTGCCTGTTATACTCCCCGATCTGTCTCTGGTGAATTCTCTCACCCTCCCATGTCTCTGGCCTGTACCCCAGTTCTTGTATAAATAAATAAATCTTTAAAAAAAGAATTTGAGGGCCTCCCTGGTGGCGCAAGGGGTTAAGCACTGCACTGTGAGGCAGTCCACAGCTTCTGCAGCACAAGTTCAATCCCCAGCCGGCCAGAGAGAAACCCACATGGTGAGGCAGACCTCTCCTGTCTCGCCTGCTGCTCCCCTCAGCAGTGTATTTCAGTCAGTCTGTCTCTTCTGTTCCCCACTCTGTCTCTGGTGAGTCCTCTCACCCCTGCATCTCTGGCCTGTACCCCAGCTCTTATATGCATAAATAAATCTTTTTTTTAAAAAAAGGAATGTGGGGCCTCCCTGGTGGCACAACCAGTTAAGACTCAACCTATGAGGCTGTCTGCAGCCTCTGCAGTATGAGTTCAATCCCTGGCTGGCCAGGGAACAACCCACATGGCACAGTAGACCTCTCCTGACTCGCCTGCTGCTCTCTTCAGCAGTGTACTTCAGTCAATCTGCCTGTTCTGTTCCCCACTCTGTCTCTGGTAAATCCTGTCACCCACCATACCTCTAGCCTGTACCCCAGCTCTTATATGCATAAATAAATAGATCTTTAAAAAAAAGAATTTTAAGATCTTGATAGTTATAAAGAAATGTAACAACTTAAACCAAAAATTAACTTCATTCTAGCAAAGATGGTAGACCAAGTCTGAGATCTGCATTTGTTCAATATACCTTATCCAGAGAACAGCATAAACACACCAATACACACAGCTTCATGATTAGCAGTTCCTGTGTATTTTTCATGTTTTCTTACCTTCTGCACAATATCCCATACATCCCTGAGTGGGTTGTAGCAAGTACACAAAAAAGTTTCCACAGTTTCTTACAGACACTGGGATTTGAAAAAGACAGCAGTCTTTTGTAGAGCTAAACAAAAATTGCCATGTGGCACAAGCTGTCAGTTGCTTGATCTCCCCAGGCAGAGGCAGTGTTTCTGCATCTCTCAGAGACAGCCAGATGGGGGCCTGTGTTCCACAGTGGTTCATCTTTTGCATCAGAGGAAACAGAAGTTGAAATCCAGTTTATTTTCACACATGGTATAGATGGTAGCTTTGCATTTTCTTCTAAACTATCTTAAAAATATTAAATTATCAGTTTTTACTTTTAAATCTAATAATTTGTTCCTATACTACAAAAGAAAAGGTAACTTTATGGAATAGTAAATACATGGGTAGATCCCTCATAATTAAAATAATTTCACTTGATTTAAATACCTTATTCCATTTGATATGTTTGTACTAAAAACAAGAGAAATTCAGCATCAGACAACTTACTAAGATATTGATACATTCTAAGACAAGTCAATATATATATAGCACAAAGATAAACTGACCTTAGAGATTTCATGAAATATTGCATAAAATGGCATGTGTTATAAAATTAACACATACTTTAGGAAGCATCAAAAATCACAGGATTAGGAAAGGATTATTAAAAATCTGATGATGGAATAATTGGATCATAATTTGTAAAAAATTGAAGTTAACAATCAAAATCATTTCCAGATGGAAAACAGAATTAAATAGAAAACTAATACAGAAAAAATAAGATCATATATTTGATTTGGGGGAGGACTGAGGCTCTTAATAAATGCATGATCTTAGGCAAGGCACTCAAAATCCTTTGCTTTTGTATGAGGTAGATAGCACTACACCCACCCCCCCCTACCCCGCAGTGCAACCATCCAGATTACAATTCTTTGTATACTTACTATTTATTATACTTCAGACAAAGGAAAAAGTCATAAAAGGTTGAGATATGACTAAATAGTAATTTAAAATATGTAAAACAAATAATAGCGGGCCTCCCCGTTGGCACAGCGGTTGAGCGCTGGGTTGGGAAGCTGCCCGCAGCTTCTGCAGTGCTGGTTCGATCCCAGGCCGCCAGGCGAGGGTCCCACAAGGCGCGCAGACCTCAGCAGTGTACTTCCTCACTTTGCCTGTTCTACTCTCCGCTCTGGCTCTGGTGAATTCTCTCACCCTCCCGTGCCTCTGACTGTACCGAGTGCTTGTATAAATAAATAAATAAATCTTTAAAAACAAAACAAAAAAAAAAAATAGCTAACTGAGGAGAAAATTATTTGTGACTAGGATTATATTTAGTATATTATTTACTTATTGTTATATTTCTTATTTTCTTCACACATATATTGTTTATTTGAAAACTGTAAGGCAACAAATGCATGATATAGATAAACATAATTCACAGAAGAAATGCAGATACTTAGTGAATATATCATAATATTCAATATTAGAAAAGATATTTTTACCTCCAGCTATTAGAATTAAAAATCAGCATCACATAAAAATAAACTATATGTATAAAAACCTAAAAAAGAGAAAGTCACCTTGACTATTTTCCTTAAAAAAAATCAACCTTTCTAAATACACTAACATATAACAGTGATTAATAAGCACAATTTGATAATCACAAAATTACTTCTAGCAAAGCCTACAAAATAATGGTTTAAATAAATATGTTATAGATGTGACAGACTAACATTTTCAAAGTGATATTAAAGAATTTCTTAATAATAGGAAAATGTTAATGCTATAGCGGCAATTGAAAAAGTTATAATTTAACACATAGCATGATCTTGATAAAACAATATAATTAAGAGAGAGTAGCAAAATGTTAGTGGTAGTATGATTGTGTTTATGGATTATGAGTTAATATTATTCTATTACCTGTCCTTTCTTAATTTTCCAAGTTTTATATAATGAATGAATGTATTATCTTAAACATAATAAACAGAAATTTAAATAGACTCGTGTTATCCTGTAAAGCAAAAAAAAAAAAATTATCAGTTCTCCAAGTCTTGGTTCAAGAAGAGTATGAGAGAGGGGATAGGGAACATTGCTCATGGAACACAAAATGACCACGTATTAACTGACTTGCAGGAAATGAGAGAGGGAAATCATTTTGAGGTTCTAGAATCAATCACAATTAATTTTGTCAAAGAAAAAGATACAAATATTTAAGGATGCAGTAAGTTTCCTCTAACTTTTTCAAATTTTACTTAAATTTTGATCTTTTTAAAATTTATTGCAGCTGAAATTGTGACAAGCACATAAACAAAAAGGAAAATATAAAATGGCTCCATTGTCACAACTTAAAATACTGTTAAATTTTGGATATCTCTCTTGAGGATTTTTATACATTACATGCTTAAGCAGGAAAATAATTCCTCCTTCGGTGTAATTCTTATTATATTGGCAAAATGGGTAAAACTTAGTCTTCTGTGGAGACAGAAATAATGACGTATCTTCAGAAATAATGAAGCATATTGTATAAAAACATGCAATATTTTATTGTTTGTAGGTTATTTGTTATGTACTTGAGTCATGGAGAATGACAGTCTGTAATTATAACTTGGCTGTGGGACCTTCCAGATGGGTGACTGTTGGAGTTTTACACCTGAGAATATATTTCCTGTAATTCATCATCATGGAAATAAGGATAATTAGAATGTATTCTACAGTTCTAGATAATGTAGGTAAAAATATTTGATGAATTGCATTAGCATTATATTAAATATTACTATTATTATTAAATGTGTAACAGGAATACTCAGGATTTATTCAATCTTGATTCAAAGTTAAAATAACCTTTCAGGATGAGAAAAAAATTGGTTGTAACACACTTTTCAATCTATATGTGAAAACATACATAATAAAAAGCACATGTTGTTCTTAGTAATTTGCAATACCTCAACGCATTTGGTTGGCATCTCAGCATGTCTCCCAAAGATGAGAAATCGGTACCACCCAGGAGAGAGGGAATGGTCACATATCAGGCCTTGAATGGCTGACTGCTGGAGGTGCAACGAGTCAAAGTGGATACTTCTATAAGGGCTCTGAAGAAGCTGGTGTCCTTCAGGAGAGCATTCCTGAGCTAGAACGCAGAGACAGGTGTCCTTATGTGTGTGTTTTCATCATTAACATAGATCAGTCATCAATTAAAATGGATTCCCCAAACAAAAGTAAAGCAAATTAATTTAGTCACACATAGAGACCACCTGACATCTGAAATGTCAGGGTCTCTTGGCAAATGAAAGGTGACTTTACTTTAATTGCCTAAATAAAATAAATCAACACAACTCTTTAAAATATATTTTTGAGGAACTTAAGCTTCAAGAGTTTTATTTTCTTTTCACTTGGACTAGTAATATTGCTGATGCTAAGATTTATTCATCCCTACCATCTGAAGGGACAGACCCTACAATGCATTCCATTTGAGCCAGCTTCTCAAGATGCGAATGCTATTATTGACACTTCAAATAAAGAAAGTAAGAAATTAAAGTGTGAAAGAAAAAATTTAGCCATTACTAAAAGACCTCACTGTGGTAAAAAATTTAAGTGAATAAATTGTTCACTTATCACATGATTCTGGATTATAGAGTTATTTTTAAATAAATCAATTTGCAAATGTAAATTAATAAGGAGCATAATAAACTAAAGATATTGACATTTCTAGATATATTTTCTCAAAGAAGACATCCAAATGTCCAATCAATACATGAAAAAAATGCTGAATTTATGAGCCACAGAGAAAAGCAAATCAAAGTGCAGTAAGGTGTTACTTCAGTCACTAGGATGACTAAAATCAAAATCTCAGGGATTAATTGATGAGGATGTGGGTAAGCTGTAACCCTCATAAACTGACTGCCATTGAAATAAATATAAAACAGTGCTATAGAAAATATTCTGCCTGTTCCTCAAAATATTAAACAGAGTTAATGACCCTATGATCTAAAATACCACTCCTGCATATATGTTGTCCCCCCACAAATAAAAATGTATCCACACAAAAACTTTTGACAGCTTTTTATTGCAGCCTTATTTACAATAGTCAAAAGTAGAAACAGACCATATGGTAATCAGCCAATGAATTCATATACAAAAGGTGGTATGTACTTATAATGGAATGTCATACCACCACAAAGAAATGAAGTGCCAATACAGATTACAACATGGATGAATCTTATATACATGTTAAGTCAAAGAAGTCACAAAAAGATTACTATATATCATTTATATAAACTAAATTTATTTTCCTCTTTTTTGAAAGTTCATGTTATGCCACCTTCACTTTAACAAAAGATATATATTAGTACCTGTTTTCACTAATGGAAAGAAATCTCAAACAGATTTTCATTTTTATTTCAAAAGCAAAAGCAGTGTCAGTTTTGTGTTATGGCTGCTGTGAGGCAGCACACCTCCCAAGCAGCTGGAGAAGCACCCCAAGCTCCTTCCCTGGGAATGACTTCATACAAACTGGGTATGTGTCACATCATTTCTGGTTTTACATGTTACCTGATGCTTTAGATATATGAGTTATTTGATCTGACTTGGCAGGCTATATTTGGAGTCTGGAAATATGCTGAACTATTTCCATATAGTTAATGGTAACAGCTTTTTCACCTTAGGCCATTTTGGCTAATGGATGGTTTCGCTGAAACACACTACTTTGAAATAGCAGGGGAAACCTTTATCAGTCTGCCTGTTCTGCTCCCCACCCTGTCTCTGGTGAATCCTTTCACCCTCCCCCCTCTGGCCTATACCCCAGTTCTTGTGTGCATAAATAAATAAATCTTTAAAAAAATAAAGTACAGAAAATAGAGTAGTGATGGCTTTACAGTTGGATAAGTGGTAAGGATGACAGACATATAGATGGAGGAAAACTAGAGTGTGATATTTCATAAAAATTTTCTAATCTATGTTCATGGTTGTACATATCTGTGAACATACCAAAAAGTATAGACTGTTGTACACAGTCATAAATCATGTATACTGTAAATGAGAAATTTGCACGTTATTTTAATAAATACCTTATTTTAATAAATACCTTATTTTAATAAAGTTGTTTGAATAATTTATATTCTTCTCCCTTTCTATTTTCTACTCTATTAAACATAAAAGAAACAAGCAACTTAATCATGTTTGAGCTTCGACTCTCATAGGGATTATTATCAGCCTTCAATTGCGAGATTACAAGTTATTATTATAGAAGCAAGAAGGTTTTTATGTGATCTAAATAAACATTGGCGATAATTACTTTATAAATTTGTTCATTTTTCCTAAAGTTCTTTAACTGTAATAGTGCATATTTAGTATATTATTAGATGTATTTTTAACAGTTCTCCACGAATATCTAATCAATGTGTAAGCAAACCCAAAAAACCACAGGCCAATGATACCTTGCTAAGATGTATTATCTCAGGAAATAACTTATAATTTTATATAAGAGCATGCTATATACCTTAAACAGTTATAAATATTGCATGTAAATTTTTTTTACAAGCTGCAGAGTTTTACAGAAATGAGATTTCTGAGAAACATAAAGGAATCCACAACATGAGAACAAGTCACCTTTCATTTAATGTCCCTATCTGGATGAACCCAAAAGCAATCAGGAAGGGCTAATGAATATTGTTCTATTTTAGTTTTACTGTATTATAAACTAAGTTTCTTGGTGGCTTAAAGTGCAAGGGGCTCTAGTCTCTACATAGAGGTTACTCACGTAGCAAAACTGTTACGATTTGCATAACAGATATGCAAAATGTATCATAAACTGGCTATTTTGTGATTTTTTTTTTCCCCACAGAAATACTTTTTTAAGTGACTTAACTGATTTTTGGTAGGGTTAAAATGCTAATCAGTTTCTTATTTCTGAAGGTGAGATGGAGTGAACGGAACTATTTTCGGATAATTTGGACCCACTTGTAGCTAACATACCTGGCAGAGCCAGCAAAAGTTTCTCAGAGTAAGTTAAAGGGAACTTAACGAGCAGCATAGCAGAGTGAACCAAGCACAGGAACAAAAACACAAACCACAGTGTTAGAGCAGAAGAGGAACTGCCTGTACGCAAAGGAAAACTTAAGAGCACCGAGGCTCTAAAGTCATAATTTCATAATGTCGACGTTAGGACAGGGCGGAAGGTCGATGAGGAACAACTATGAGACGCTGCCATAAAGATGCACAGGCATGCCCGGCATCGGGGAGCCACCCGCCCCCAAATGTCCCGGCGCCCCCGCGCTCCTCTCGCCAGCGCCCTACCTCGCTGACCCGCCCCGGGGGCCAAGAGCGTCAGTGCCAGCGCCAGCGCCCAGACTCCGCCGGGTTTCGCCGCTGCCAGGGTTAGGGAAGAAGGCATCGCGGAGACCTGGCAATGCATGGAGAAAAGGAGGGTGCCGCCGAATTCCCAAAGCCCTGCTATTACAGACTTGTCAGTCTGTTTCTGCTAGACTTCGGGGTCGCTGCGCGTCCTCGCTCCGAGTGCAGCGCGCTTTCCTGCAGCTATTGGGCGAGCCTTTCCCGGGTCCCAGCTCTCCTGCTCCTCCTCTGCAATTCTGGCCGCCCAGCCCGAAAGCCACGCCCAGCGCGGCCCAGCGGACTCTGGGGAGTCAGGGTCCTGCCAACATCCCATCTTCCAAGTGGTAAGACTGAGACTTGGACTAGGAGCACTAGACACGAGGTGCCCAAATGCATTAAGAGGATCTTGTAAAAATAGTTTATAACTTTCTTTATTTGAGAAACAAAGTACCATTTAAGTAGTTTAAATCTATCTCCAAAAGGAAAAACATTAACCCATCTTGGAAAAAAAATTTGTTGTGACGCACAAAACTTAGATGTTTGCATCCCTTTTCATGAGACAAGGTACTGTATTTCCTAGGACAAAAATGAAATAGTTTTTTGATGGGAGCAGGCATGATTTCTATCTTAAAGCCAGTCTAGCAAAGAGCAATTTAATGTGGGCAGGATGAAATCGCAGAGATTTTTTAGTATACAGTATACTTTTTTGTTTCCTTTTATAAAACCCTAATAAAATTGAGATGGAAAAATTAACATACATTTTCACAATCTATTTGTAAAATCACCAGATAAAGGGATGGTTATAATCAGGATCAAATCAGAAGACTTTTTGCAAATTTATTGTCTAGCAGTATCTGTAGAAATGCAAATAACTCATACTTTTTTAGATGACATCATCAGCTAACTTTCAACAGACCCTGAAGAGGCAAGGGAGAGTAGAGATCACTGTCCCTTTCTCTTCTGTTCAGTTTTTTTGATTGATGAATGCTAGTTTATGAGTTTACAATAGATTTATAACAAAGAAACAATTTTCCTTCATTTAAGTGAGTTAAGACAGGCAAAAAGCAACTTACATTGTTTTTCCTATCTTTGTGGAAATTTTACCTAAACTGGTTTGGGTCTACAAGAATGTACTGAATCAAAATTAATCATAGAACTGATGGAGGACAGGAATTAAAAAAAAAAAAAAAACTGAAAAGGAGGCACCACAAGACCAGAAACCTGGCTCACACAAAGAGGTGCATAACCATTGACACAGCTAAGGAAACCAAGATCCTTAGGCACCAATGCGCAGATTACAAAGCATAAGATCCGAGGAGGTATCAGACTGCTGTAGGGAGTATCTAGACCACAGGCCCAAGGGTAAAGATATGGAGATTGAGCCCAACAGACCCCAAAGGTGAAGATATGGAGATTAGGCTCACTGTGGAATCTCCAGTCCCTTTCAGATTCTGCATAGTTATCCAAAATCAGCAACTAACCTAAAACTCACAAGGAGTGAGTCCCTCCCAGGCAGAAGAAAACTATCAGCGCAGTCTGCACAGGCTCAAGGCAGCACTAGGTCTGCCCACCTGTGCCTATGCAGGTGCCAACTCTCTCCCTCTTCAGGGCAGCAGCCTCCTGCCTGCCCATGACCTGTACTATGCTGGGACTTCTCTTTACTGACCTCCCTCAGCAGGGGCAGTAAAGGTCTCCTCAAGGTCGCCTGCCCTCAACCATGCAGCCCTCTTTCAGCAAACCTGTTCCTTCCGGGGCAGCTTTTCCTGCCCACTGTGTCTATTGATACCAGAATTGTCAGGCCTAGTCTCCCAGCCAGGAACGGATTCCAGGCTGCAGGGCAGCGCTGAGCCCCAGCCACTAGACCCCCCTCGGGTTGGTGTCTCACGAAGCCGCAGCAGGAACTTCGCAGACGCTAAGGCAAGCAAGAGAGAAGCGCAGGTTTGTTTAGAAGAAAAAAGCAGGTTTGTTTAGAAGAAAAAAAGTTTATTGAGGAGAAAAAGAGCAGAAATAAAGTGGGACTCCCAGGCCAGGGAACCAGGCCTGGGAGGGGCAAGGAAGCCAAAGTGGGGTCCTGTCTCAGGGAATATATACTTTCTTTCCCTGATTATTCTAAAGCTCCACCAGTCTCTTTGTGATTGGTCAGTTTTCGGCTGTCTCACTTAATTTGCTACTGAATGGGAGCTCTTCACATTCCTTATCTAACAGGTCTGTCTTTCCCCATTTGTTATATCTTTATCTTTATGGTCTAGCCCTTCCGGTGAGCATCTTTACGCTTTATCTTATCATCTGAAGAAAACCAGGACCACCCTTAACAAGATTATCTGTGGTTCTAGGATGTTTGTTTTTCCCAGTGGAATTGGTTTCATTTCCTTGCTTGTCCTTATCTCTGAAGCCTCCCTAAATTCTTCAGAGGTCCCCTCCTGCACTGTCCTAAAACTGCCTAATAACCCTAGCTTGCCCTGTCTCACTATGCAAGTGTCTTTTACTCTTTTGTCCCTTTCCCTAATAAACCTGTTCTTTAAATATAACTAACATCTCTGTCTCATGGAGAAACTCGGCACGTGTTGCTAAAATGTGAGCTCTGGTGAAACCTTGCCCAGAGTGAACCCAAGGGCCCCATACTCTAAACCAAATAACTCCAAAAACAACAACAGAACTATGGGAAAGAGAAAAATAATTAAAATAAGGTTCATCAAAAATTGGTATAAGTGTTAACAGGGCAGGGAGAGGGGCAATCCAGACCCCACAAACCTGCCTGCTCTAAATAGGTTCTGCCATCAGCCATATCAACACAAAACATATGAGACTTTAATGAAAAGGAACCTTTAATACAATTAGTAAACAATACAGGAAAGGCAAAGAATATAGTTTCTAAATCACACACCCAAAGTTACCCATCCCCTTGTGGGTAAAAGTCCACCCAAGCAGGATTGGCCCAGAACAAAGCCCCAAAGCCTGCAACAGGTCTGATACCGGAATTGTCAGGCCTAGTCTCCCAGCCAGGAACAGATTCCAGGCTGCAGGGCAGTGCTGGCCCCAGCCGCTAGACCCCCACGGGTTGGTGTCTCACGAAGCCGCAGCAGGAACTTCGCAGACGCTCAGGCAAGCAAGCGAGAAGAGGCAGGTTTGTTTAGAAGAAAAAGTTTATTGAGGAGAAAAAGAACAGAAATAAAGTGGGACTCCCAGGCCAGGGAACCAGGCCTGGGAGGGGCAAGGAAGCCAAAGTGGAGTAGTGTCTTAGGGAATATATACCTTTTTTCCCTCATTATTCTAAAGCTGCCCCAGTCTCTTTGTGATTGGTCAGTTCTCGGCTGTCTCACTTAATTTGCTACTGAGTAGGGGATCTTCATGTTCCTTATCTAACAGCTTTCTCTTTCCCCATTTGTTGCATCTTTAAATTTATGGCCCAGTCTTCTGGATGGACATCCCTGCATTGAAGTTAAACAGCTGCCCTTCTAATGTGACCATAAATTAAACCACTCTCCATTTCTCCAATCTCCGCCTCCCTTTACCACCTGAAGGAAACCAGGACCAGCATTAACAATGTTGTCCTTGGTCCTGGCATGTTTGTTTTTCCTAATGGAATTGGTTATATTTCTTTGGTTGTCCTTATCTCTGAAGCCTCCCTAAATTCTTCAGAGATCCCCTCCTGCACTGTCCCTAAAACTGCCTAATAACCCTAGCTTGCCCTGTCTCAGGTCTAAAGCACCTTCCAGTGGGGACCCACAGAAAAGGATCAGAAACAACCAGACAAGTCTGTGAGGAAAAGAGCAAAATCAAAATCAAGACAAAAACCACTGTTGTCACCTCCCCACGGGTCTCTCACTCACATTTGTGTCAACCAGTCCAAGACCAAAAGGCAAGAGCAGTTTCTTCACAAGTCTCTTGGCTCCATGTGCCTCCTCTGGGCTCCTTCTGGCTCCATCCTGCTTCCTTCCCTCCTCAGTCTCTTCTGCAGCTTCTTCTCCCTGCTCAACTCCACCCTCCTTTTGGGTGGGGCAGGGAACCTGGAACCTCTCCCTTTCCTGGGGACCACCCTGTTACATAAGATTATATTTTGTTTTACTTAATAGTTTTTGTATTTTTTTTAAGATTTATTTATTTATATATACAAGGGCTGGGGTACAGGCCAGAGGTGCAGGACGGTGAGAGGACTTACCACAGACAGAGTGGGGAGCAGAACAGGCAGATGTACTGAAATACACTGCTGAGGGGAGCAGCGGGCGAGACAGGAGAGGTCTGCTGTGCAATGTGGGATTTTTTTTGCCGCCCAGCTGGGATCCAACCCGCGCTGCAGAGGCTGTGGAAAGCTTCACAGTGCGGTGCTCAACCGCCTGAGCCACCAGGGAGGCCCCAGCCTGCCTGTTGTATTCCCTACTCTGTCTCTGGTGAAGCCTCTCACCACACCAACACCTCTGGCCTGTACCCCAGTTCTTGTATGCATAAATAATCTTTTTAAAACAATAAATAGTAAATAAACATGGCAATTGTTTAGGAAGGAAATTTATGGAACCTATATAATTAAAATTAAATAATTAAAAATTTCAGGGAAATATGTAGTTCGTTTATTCTCAGAGGGGAAAAAAAAAAAACAACAGGCTCAATACTCCTCACGTGAAGATTATGGGACGACTAGAACACACAGTTCTTTTCCTTTCCAAAGTCTGTGGCTAACTGTAAACAATCTATAATTTGACTGTG